AACTATGTTAGATTCAGCAAACTTCTGGTTTACTACATAACATCTATTTAACTTTTCCTCATTTATTTTCTTAACTTGATCAATTTTGAAATTCCTTGGAATTACTTTATATATGATTCATCAGGATCATTCATCTATGAATATAATCTTCTGGATTATGAGTTAGGGATTTTTACATTTTTTTTTAATTAATGATCAAATTTATCTTGTGTATGAACATAATCTTCTAGATGTTTCATGTATTATTGATTGTGGGATTCATCCATTCTCCTTCTCGAGATGATGATACTTCAGGTTCATCTATCTCGAATTGAATTCTAATATAAAATCAATAACATCTTTGACCATTTACTTGTATATCACATTCACTTCCGGAAATTGATCATAACCAATTAGATATGATTCAAAATTTTCATTAATAACTCATTATATTATCAGAATTTATGCATTATCTTCCACAGAATGGAAACTTATTTACAGACTTCAGGTCATGTAATCTTTGATGCAAATATAATATATAGAAAATATAGAAAAAATAAATATTATCAAGCTATAGAAATAAAACATAATAAGAACAATTAATATTAATAACATATGCCATTTTATTATCACTTCAGGTGACAAATTTAATTCTAAAAGAAAATAATATATTTAAATCATTAACAATTTCTTTGCTATTGTGTCTACTGGACAACAATATTTCATAAAATACTCTTTAAACATATTTATATTATTGTGTCTTCAGGACAACAATATTTTCTTGATTTCTTTTAACACATTTGTAATAGTAGTATTATTTCCACTTATAAACTTCAAGTTTATGTGGTCTTAGATGAAATAATTTTCCTTAGATTGCTCTATTACGTCATATCACTTATGGTGATTATTTATTTTCTTTAGATTAATATTTTTAGACCATATCACTTCTGGTGATAATTCTTTTAGATTTCTCTAAAAATCTATATATCTTTTATAGCCAAATACTCAAAGCACAAAATTGTAATCACAAAAGTATGATCAAAATATATAAGTTATGAACATAAATAATAGTTACATAGCTCAATCAATTATCAATTTAAACCAATGATTAAAAAATCCGACCGGACCAGCCGGTCCGACCGGTTAAACCGGGAACAGGTGGCTCCCCCGGTTTGAGTTTAATGAAAAACCCAAATTACAATTGACCCAAAAAAACCAGCATTAACCCGGCAAAAACCCAAAAACCAGCCGGTTTGATTAATTAACTAAACCCGGTTTTGATTTAATGCACCCTTAATGACCTAAAAACAAATCGCCTCTCTTTTTTTTTTTTTTTTTTTTTTAGTATAACATCGCCTCTTTCTTTTTGTCCCTCTTGACTGTCTTCACGATTTTTCTCTCATGTCCATATCCAATAGAATCTTGGACATATTGATCATGTAATTCTCTTTGACTAACTTTTGATCATGTAATCTCTTTCACTAACTTTTGTCAAGTTTTTAATAAAAATATTACGGCTATATAGATCCAATTTACTTCAAAGTTGGATTCAACAAAAACATGTTCGGGGAATTATATTACTCATAGTAGAGAATAGAGATGTCACAGAGGAAAACTGGTTATGACTTGTGTGGGTTTGCAAAAATACAGAATTTTAGACGATGATTTCACAGAATGAAAACATCATGTATCTTGGCAGAAAGGCCAAGTAAAATTCTGAAATTATTATATATATTTGTATTTCTAAATTTAAATATATTTATTATTAAAAGAAAAATATAAAACCCGGTCCAACCGGTTGGACCAGGTTGAACCATAACTTGAAGATACATCTGGTTCGGTGTCCGGTCCGGTTTTAAAAACATTGATTTAAACCAATCAATTTAAACCAATGAGATAATATATCAAAGCAATGCAGTATGACAGTAAAATCAGAATTCAATAACACAATTAACTTGATGAGGAAACATAAAGTATTAAGGTTTTGATCAAGCCAACGATCAACAACAAAAACAACTAAATGAAGTTGTAAAAGAGTAATACTAATTAATGGTTCCAAAACCAATATAAGACTAAGCCACCAAACCATTACACGATCCTATATCAAATTCTGGTTAACAATTTTCAATTAGTGAGAAGTATGAGATCATGTATACCAATAATCAATTAAACCAACTCAAACCAATGTTTTAATCACAAAATCCAATTAATAGTTCTTAAATCATAATAAAAAGCATGCGACAATCATGAACTGGTCAATAAAAAGCAACTCATATAAATTAAGATCATCAATTTAGAAAGAGTCATAGCATATATTCATAGAATATAGAATAATATACTGATCTTAATCTTAGTAAAATCAAACATTGACACCAAATATGAGTATATTATAAAATATGTTTGGGTTCATAAACGTGATTCTAAAGTGTGATAAAAATAATTTTGTAAATCCTTCTGGAATATAAATGATTTTGTAATTGTAATTTTTCAGGATTACAATTCCTTCTGGGATTGAGATGATAAACATAAATTTCCAAATAATAGAAATTATTCATTGAATCTTGTTTAATCTTTGGAAATAAGGAAATCTGATTTTCTCTTACCTTTTAGCTTAGACGGCTAGACGGCTAGAGTTTTAACCTAATGGTTAGAGACTCGTGCTGATAACGTGTTATAGTAAGAAGAGAGAACAAGAGAAGAGAGGAATTGGTTGTATATTACAATGAACTCCTTATATAGGATTACAATATACGGTTTTCCTTGGAGAGGAATACACTTGGAGAACAAATTAGAACCTTCTAGAATATCGGTCAATAATGAGCCAGTAATAGATTTCCATATAAACTATTTATAACACATCATTTTGTATGATTTATTAGTTGTTATCCGTCTAACATATTTAGTAACACGTTAAATACAAATTTACATATGTGTATGCGGTATAATAATTATTACCATGTTACCAAAATAGATAACTCGTTATTATCATGTATAGTACTCTATTTACTATATTAACACCAAATATATTTGGACTATTCATTAATCATTAAATTTCTCTATCATCAATCTTTTGTTATTTTTCAGATAACTTCAAACTTAGCTAGCTAACAATTAAGTTATTTTGTAAAACTAATATTTAGCAATAAATCAATATTTTTAGATTTGTATCTCCATCATTTTTCTTTTGGTTTTAGTCTAACTAACTTCACAATTATCTAACTAATAAATATGTTACCTTGTGAAAGAAAATTTTATAAACAAATATATTTTCTTACATATGTTATGATAATTGTTTATTTGCTATTAAAACATGTAACTAATATATATAAATATATATATATATATATATCTCGTATGGATCTGTTAAAGTGAAAAATGATAATCTTCAAATAAGTTGATGAAATCTTAGTTATTAGTGTTCTTATTAGTGTTCTAAGAGCATTTCCAACTCACCCTTATATTTCCCCTTAAACACTATTTTAGTGTAAAACTCATTTCCAACACACCCTGCTATCAAAAATAAGGGAACATTATTTTTTCCCTCAAATATGGTGTAACTTTATTTCTCCCTTATATTTGATGTTGATCTTTTTTATTTGCAAAATAATCCTTCAAACTAAACTTTTTCTTATTTTGAACTTAACTAAATTATAAAAGATTATTTATTTTTTCTTATTTTACTTGAATTAACCATGAAACATTATATTAAAAAGTAACATGATTTATCTTATAAAAAGGATTAAATTCGTATTTTATTCATTAAAAATAAGTAAATTCGTATTTTATTCATTAAAAATAAATAATAAAAAACTCCATAAAATTAGATAAATAGTAAATTCTTGAAATTTTTTAAGAACATATACAAGTTATTAAAAGAACAAAGACTAACAATTTAATAAAATGGTAAATTGCTAATTTGTTGGACTAATTTGTAAAAATTATAAATAAAATATTTTAATAATAAATTTTGATTTAGAATATATCATAGATATTTTTTTTAGTGTAAGAAATAAGGGAATACATTGGAGAGAAAATGACATTATTATAAAAGAACACTAAAAGTAAGAGAAAAAATAAGGGAATATATTGGAGATGGTCTTATGATTTTATGCGGAACAAAATGAAAAAAGAAAAGAAAGAGAAACACAGGAAATAGAAAGAGGAGGGAGAGAGAAGAAAGAGAAGTGAGGAAAAAGGTCGGCCGAGTTGCCGAGTACTCGGTCCTAAAACCGCCAGAAGGAGGTTGCCGTTCCGACTTTTTAAAAACCGAGTAAAGATATGGTCAACCGTTGACCGTACTTTGACATTCACATTATTATAAAAATCAGCAAGTAAATGTTAAAATCTGGTGGGTTAAAGTTTGATTTTTGTTCATAATTAGCCCCAATTCACCAAAGTGTGTAAAGACACTTTTCATTCAACATAAAACCTTAAAAATGTAGTATATGACTTTTATATTGATGTATTATATATAAAAAAATAATGTTATTTGGTAATAATGTAGTATATGATTTTCATGTTGATGTATTATATATAAAAAATTAAAAATGTTGGAAATATATAAAAATGTACTTAAAATTAATTTCCGAGTACTCTTCGATTTATTTCCGACTTTTGAGAAAATCGCTAGAAGGAGACGGAGCGCCCTAGTACCGCCTAACGAGTTTTAGAACACAGGGTATATCCCATCAGTTTTAGCAGTAAATAAAGGAATGTTCGAATTGCAAGAATGTTTAAAATTGTTGGAAATATATAAAAATGTACTTAAAATTAATTTCCGAGTACACTTCGATTTATTTCCGACTTTTGAGAAAATCGCTAGAAGGAGACGGAGCGCCCTAGTACCGTCTAACAAGTTTTAGAACACAGGGTATATCCCATCAGTTTTAGCAGTAAATAAAGGAATGTTCGAATTGCAAGAATGCCCAATGCCTCCTTGATACGCTTCAAGTTGATCAATATAATACTTAATAGGGCCTGCATAGGCTAAATTACATAGAACTGAGTTTGCGACGAAGACAATGGTAATATTAGCGTTGAAGGTTGCTAAAGTTTTGACTCCCGTATCAAGTACTGTATCAAACCTTGGTTTACCATTCGTACCGTCACAATGATATCGAAGAGAAATATTAGGGCCGAGTTGATTTTGAATGACCACACGACTTGGTGGACAAGCTTCATTCAACCTAAAAAACAGAGCAATAACTAATTGAAAAACTATGAGATAATTCATTTTTTTAAGTGAAATATGATTTTTGCAGTAATAAAGTTATCAATGTAATATTTATATAAAGAAATGTGTGGTAACTGTTTTATTTCAATTTTTAAATAGTCTATTTATGACGTTATCTAAATTTTAAAACAAACACAAACCAAGTAAAATAATGAATATGTTTCCCTCTAACACTCTCGGCTCCACTTAGAGCATGTTTATTGGTGTTACTTTGCTACATCTCTTAGTGTAAATAGCATTTAAAATAAATGAAAAAGGCATAATTTAGTTAAAAACGTCTCTTATATAAGGGAAGTTGGAAAGTTTTAAGGGACGTTTGTTAGAGCCACGTGTCCAATTTGGACCGAGCTTTAAACAAGATTTTTTTTTTTTTTTCTCTCTCATTCTTCTTCGTTCTCTGAGGCGATTCGTCGCGAATGCCTTCTTGTTCGAATTGAACCCTCGATTTGGTTTTTTTGGCAGGCGGGTTCAGGGAAGGGAGGAAGAGACGGCGGCGACGGTCGTTTTGGTGGAAGAGGAGGACGATTTGGTGGTGGCGGCGGTGGTGGACGATTTGGTGGTGGCTGTGGTCGATTTGTGTCTCTCCGCTACAAGCTTCTCGGTGGTCTTGCTGTTCGTAGGTATGTGTTTTGGCATCATTTGTTTTTATTTCAGACACCGTTGATTGATTTGTATGCTTGGAGATTGGAGATTGTTAGAGTATGTGTTAAGTAGTTTAGCTAATGAGAGGAAACATCCTTGGTTTTAGCTGCGTTCTAAAGAACCATTACAATGTGCATTTTGATTCCATATCTCTCTTGAATAATCATTGTCTTGATTGATTCATTAGTTAGTTTTTATGTGTGTGGATATTGTAGGAAGGAAGTAAAGACAACGGGGAAGAATGAGGAGCATCATTTGTGGAAGAAGAATGAATCTGCTGGGTCAGGGCAGCAAGCAAACTCTGTTGGAGCACAACATGAGAGACTTGTTGATAGATTCGTAAGTTTCTGTTTACAGGTGCAGTATTTGCTAATGTCAAAAATGGTATAACTGAGTTTTGGTGCATTTTCGAGTTGTTTCAGAGAGATACCATTCAAGATGCCTCAGGGTTTGGTCAGAGGAACTACCTACCAGTGTGTTTGCAAGATCAGATGGTAGCTCATTTGTGCTTGAGGTACAGAACAGATTTAGAAGGTTTACAGCAGCAAGAAATATTCACAAAGAACATTTTGAAGAAGTGACTCAGAAATCAGAATAAATGTTTACAGAGTATGATGATGGAGAAGGTGAAGGCTTCAGATCTTTTGTTGCTGTGGAGAGCTTGAACGTGAGTGTTGCTGCTGGTTTCTTTCTTCATCACTTGATAGGCAACAAAGCAAGTGTTTGATTATGATGTCTGAGTTGTTCTAAACAGTTTCGTTTTTGCACCAAACTTGGAATCTGTTATGTATTTGAATTACTTAATATTTTCATGATAAGGCTATCTTATGAAAAATTGGTTCTTATTGATTGTTCTTACGATCATTTCCTCCAGACTTTGACCTTGTCTTCAAATCCATCGACTAGCATCTTCATCATTACCACTCTTTTACCTTTTGATACCTGCAGATTTAGTTTTAAAATTTTGCATAAGCATCAGGCCTTTGCTTCAAGTTTTTGTATCTTGCTTTAAAACCATATACACAAAGATAAATCAATGATGATGATTATGAGGATGACATTTAAATTTTTCTTTCATGTTTAAGGTTTTAAAAGTTATGTTTAAATTGTTTTTATGTGAAACTATGTTTTTATTTCATCTTTTTATATATAAATAAACTTAATTAAAAAAAAAAGTTAAGAACCTTCCGAAGTTTTACCAATAATTGATGCAAAAACATACGTCTCTTAACAATGTCTCTTAACATAAATGTATTGTTATTATAATTCTAAGAGACATTTTGGGTTTCACCAATAAACATGCTTTTACAATCAGGTGGCTCCGACGTGTAAACTCAACCACATAAAAAAATAAAACGAGTATTATTAACGCATGAAAAAAACTGCAAATAATATTATTAAACAGCATTTTCTCGAACTCATAAAAAGTAAAGGAAAACGATAAATAAACCACATTCAGTTGATGGTAAGAGGGGAACTGAAGAAGCCGCAAATGACAACTAAGAAACACACAAAGAAGATGAGCATCATCATAATAGCAGATGAATATCAAAATGTGATAATTAATGTCATGACGGTTGTCACCTAGAGTCGGGGGAGACTGCGTGAGGCTGGTTTCACAGAGCAGGATTACGAGCCGTTGCCTTCCGATCCCACCATGACTCAATGAGCCGATCCCGATTGGACCATCACTTTTCTTTAACAAAAAAAAATAATTTCATGACTGTCACATGTCATATATATTATACTATGTTTATGTGGCAGCTTCCCGAAAGTGTTATTTAGTTTTCATATAATAGATTAAGTTGTGCTTCAACCCAAATTATGATCAACTCATGGCTTCAACTTTTTCTTCAAAAATCAAAATTATGAAATTATTTTGGAAATTTTTTCAGCAGAGAAACTAAAATAATTTATAGGGTCAACTAATCGGGTCAACGAATGGAAGCTTTTAGCCTTTTACATATTTTTTTTCCAAAGTGATTTATATATACTTGCACTTTTAACTTTTGAGTCGCGACTTGTTATTTTAAAAGTTTAAAACCGAGTCGATTTGTTTGTTGTGAATCTTGTGATCACCTAAATCGAACCGGTTCTGCAACTTCCAGCTAAAACCGAACCGGTCCAGCATCTTCCACGTTGCTAACATGTACGTCGTCGTTTAGTCATTTGTAGGATAACAAAAGGAAAGAGAGAGAGAGAGAGACGGAGATTCGGAAAAATATCATAATGGCTAGCTTCTCCACAGCACAACCGCTCTCCCTGCCACGTCACCCAACACTCTCAAACCCGAATCAACCAACCGCCAATAACGAACGCTCCCGCCACACTCTCTCTCTGATCGACAAATGTTCAGAAATCCGAATACTGAAGCAGATCCATGCCCAAATGATCCGCACCGGTCTCTTCAACGACCCTTTCTCAGCCAGCAAGATATTCTCCATCGCCGCGCTCTCTCCCTTCGCGAGCCTCGATTACGCCCGCAAGGTGTTCGACCAAATTCCTCAACCAAACTCTTTCTCCTGGAACACGCTCATCCGCGCTTACGCTTCCGGACCCGACCCGGCTCGGAGCATCCGGGTTTTCTTGGATATGCTCTCCGAGAGCCACTGTCACCCGAACAAGTACACTTTCCCTTTCCTCATCAAAGCGGCTGCAGAAGTTTCCTCTCTATCTCTAGCTCAATCCCTTCATGCGATGGCGGTTAAATCCGCGGTGGGATTTGACGTCTTCGTCGCGAATTCTCTAATACATTGTTACTTCTCCTGCGGGGATTTGGATTCGGCTTGTAAAGTGTTCACCACGATTCAAGACAAAGACGTGGTTTCTTGGAACTCGATGATTACTGGGTTTGTGCAGAGAGGTTCTCCAGATAAGGCCTTGGAGCTTTTCAAGAAGATGGAGACAGAGGACGCTGTTATCAAGGCGAGTCATGTGACGATGGTCGGTGTCTTGTCCGCTTGCGCAAAGCTGCGGAATCTTGAATTTGGGAGGGAGGTTTGTGCTTACATCGTGGAGAAGAGAGTGAACACAAACTTGACTCTGGCTAATGCGATGCTTGACATGTACACAAAGTGTGGAAGCATAGAGGAAGCGAAAACGCTGTTCGATTCAATGGAGGTGAAAGATAACGTGACGTGGACGACAATGCTTGATGGTTACGCGATTTTGGAAGACTATGAAGCAGCTAGAGATGTTCTCAACGCTATGCCTAAGAAGGACATTGTTGCTTGGAATGCTCTTATATCTGCTTATGAGCAGAACGGTAAACCTAACGAGGCGCTCTCAGTGTTCCATGAGCTTCAGCTTCAGAAGAACATAAAGCTGAATCAGATCACCTTGGTGAGTACGTTATCGGCTTGTGCTCAGGTAGGGGCGTTGGAGTTAGGTAGATGGATCCATAGCTACATCAAGAAGAATGGTATTAGGTTGAATTTTTATGTCACGAGCGCGTTGATTCATATGTATTCGAAGTGTGGAGATCTTGAGAAGGCGCGTGATGTGTTTAGCTCTGTGGAGAAGAGAGATGTGTTTGTGTGGAGTGCGATGATTGGTGGCTTGGCGATGCACGGATGTGGCAACGAAGCTGTTGATATGTTCTTTAGAATGGAAGAGGCTAATGTAAAGCCTAATGGCGTGACGTTCACGAATGTGTTCTGTGGTTGTAGCCATAGCGGTTTGGTGGATGAAGCTGAGTCTTTGTTCAAGGAAATGGAATCGAGTTATGGTATAGTCCCTGAGGAGAAGCATTACGCTTGCATTGTTGATGTTCTTGGTCGCTCTGGTTATCTTGAAAAGGCTGTGAAGTTCATAGAGGCGATGCCGATTCCTCCAAGTGCTTCTGTTTGGGGAGCGCTTCTTGGAGCTTGCAAGATCCACGCCAATCTGAGTCTAGCTGAAACGGCGTGTACACGGTTGCTTGAGCTTGAGCCGAGGAACGATGGCGCGCACGTTCTGCTTTCGAACATATACGCGAAGTCCGGGAAATGGGAGAGCGTCTCTGAGCTGAGGAAGCACATGAGAGTCACTGGGCTGAAGAAAGAACCTGGATGCAGCTCGATCGAAATCGACGGCACGATTCACGAGTTTCTCTCTGGGGATAATGCTCATCCGATGTCTGAGAGAGTGTATGGGAAGTTACATGAGGTTATGGAGAGATTGAAGTCGAATGGTTATGAGCCAGAGATGTCTCAGGTTCTGCAGATCATTGAGGAAGAGGAAATGAAAGAGCAGTCTCTGAAACTGCATAGTGAGAAGCTGGCGATTTGTTATGGATTGATATCTACAGAGGCTCCGAAGACGATTCGGGTTATCAAGAATTTAAGAGTGTGTGGAGATTGTCATTCAGTTGCTAAGCTAATATCTCAGATCTATGATAGAGAGATAATAGTTAGGGATCGGTATCGGTTTCACCATTTCAGAAATGGGCAGTGTTCTTGTAACGATTTCTGGTGAATCTTCACATTATCAAGAAGATTTCTTTAGTCAAAATTTTGTATTTGTTCCACATTTGTGTATTACAAATTTACAAAACTATATCGATGAAATTATTGTAGTGATATGGACTTTCTCTTTGTACCATCACATCTCTGTTTTGCATTATGTTGTTTTATAAAGTAGTTTTTAACATATTGACAAAAAATAGTAATAAGAAAAAACGATTTCTAAATCAATGTTATTATTTTTAACCATTTTCTAAGTAAATTGAGTTACACATACAAAACCAACGTTATTTAGTGATATTATGCTACTTACAAAGTGGTTTAAAAATAATAACAACAGTTTGGAAACCTATCATTTTCTGAGGGTATCTTATTGTTTTTTTTTTTTTTTTTAACCAACATAGTTATCTTATTGTTATGAACAAACAAGTGGACTCTTCACTATTTTAAGTTAGGCACGAGTTGTGGAGGTATTCGTATAAACACATCTCCGTCTCAAAGATAACTTATCCTTTTGATTGTTCTTGATGTCAAGCACATAGAAACTATGAGTGTTTCAAATCTCAAAGTGTAGTATCCATGTATTCGTAGCTAAGTAATGTAACAATTATTATAATTTGTTATCTGTTATTTAATTTTATCTTAGTAATACACAAAAATACAAGTTGTTGGCTATTCATGGATATTTTTATTGTACAAATTAGAATGTCTTTCGATTGATTCAATAAAACGTTAATGTGTTTAAATGTTTTCTAATGTTTGTTGGAGTATATTGTGATTCACAATTATTTCTACATCTAGTATGTTTGTCTAACATTTATCTAGAGTTTAGATTTGGTTAAAAGGCCACATATTGATGTTTACATTAGCTTTTTAAAATGTCACTTCGATGTATTCAATAAAAGATTTATGTATTCATTTCATACTGTTTGCCGGAATATTGTATATATATTGTGGTTCATTCTATCATTCTATGTGTGAATATGTGTGATTTTATTAATATGTGTGTGAAAAATGTAGAATAAGACTCTTTACGAAATAGAGGGAGTATATAGTTTTCTTTAAATCTCATGTAATAAGATTTTTAAAATGCGGTAACTCATGTGTTCATAACATGTATGGATCACGCTAAAAGCGGTAAACCATGTGTTCATAACATGTGTGGATCATGTCAGTATCACATAACCCTTGATCACATCCTAATTGCTCATATTTATCGTTTTGTTTATAAATACTGATATACATATAACAACACAACTCCACAAAGGATACAGAACACAGGTTCTCCTGTTAGACTAAAATCACTCGCCGACCAAAAAAAAAAACAAAGGAAACAAAAAAAATTACTCTAAAATGGCGCCACCGCATTTTCTACTGGTAACGTTCCCAGCGAGAGGTCACGTGAACCCATCTCTCCGTTTTGCTCGTCGGCTCGTCAAAACCACCGGTGCACGTGTCACATTCGCCACGTCTCTCTCCGTCTTCCATTGCTCTATGATACCAAACCAGGACAACGTGTACAACAACCTCTCTTTCCTTACCTTCTCCGACGGATTCGACGACGGTGTCGTCTCCAACACCGAAGACGTCCAAACGCGGTTGCTGAACATCAAACGCAACGGCGACAAAACGCTGTCGGATTTCATCGAAGCTAATCAGAACGGTGACTCTCCCGTGACTTGCTTGATCCACACGATACTTCTCAACTGGGCTCCCAAAATGGCGCGTAGGTTACACCTTCCCTCTGCTCTTCTCTGGATCCAACCGGCTTTGGTTTTCGACGTTTATTACAATCACTCCACCATAAACAACAGTTCTGGTTTCGAGTTCCCGAATCTTCCCGCTCTCACAATCCGTGATCTTCCTTCTTTCCTCTCACCTTCCAACACAAGCAAAGCCACACAAGAAGTGTATCTTGAACTGATGGAGTTTCTCAAACAAGAAACCAACCCGAAGATTCTAGTCAACACGTTCGATTCTCTGGAGCCAGAGGCCTTAAACGCAATCCCAAATATCAAACTGGTGGCCATTGGTCCTTTACTCCCTGAGGAGATTTTCACAGGAAGAGAATCAGTTAAAGATAAAAGTAGTTATACACTTTGGCTAGACTCGAAAACAGAGTCCTCTGTTATATATGTTTGTTTTGGAACAATGGTTGAGCTGTCGAAGAGTCAGATAGAGGAGCTAGCGAGAGCACTCATAGAAGGAAGAAGACCGTTCTTGTGGGTTATAACTGATAAATCCAACAGAGAAGCGAAGATAGAAGGAGAAGAGGAGACAGAGGTTGAGAAGATAGCTAGTTTTAGAGACGAGCTAGAAGAGGTTGGGATGGTTGTGTCTTGGTGTTCGCAGGTGGAGGTTTTAAGACACCGATCCGTAGGTTGTTTTGTGACTCATTGTGGGTGGAGCTCGACGCTTGAGAGTTTGGTTCTAGGCGTTCCGGTGGTGGCGTTTCCGATGTGGTCGGACCAACCCACGAATGCAAAGCTTCTGGAAGAAACATGGAAGACAGGTGTGAGGGTGAGAGAGAACGAGGAAGGATTGGTGGAGACAGGAGAGATTAGGAAGTGTTTAGAAGCAGTGATGGGGAAAGCTGAGGAGCTGAGGCAAAACGCAGAGAAATGGAAGCGTTTAGCGTTTGAAGCGGGTGGAGAAGGAGGTTCTTCGGATAAGAACATGGAGGCTTTTGTGGAGATTGTTTTGAGGTTGAGTGAAACATAAGAGGGCGAGCAATGTAAACAGGCATAAGAAATCTATGTAAACTTAGTAACTGAAATTTAATATATTTTTAGTTGTAAATGCATATCATGAAAATAAATGCTGGTATGATGTCTTACACGGACTCAAGTTGTAGGTATTCAATTTCATGTATATTTTTAGTTTTATTGTTCCTGTTTGATTCAATACAATGTTTATGTACTTATGTTTCCCTGCTCAAATGCTTATGTACTTATTCACTAATATTTGCCGGAATATTTTGTTATTTACACTTATTGCTACATGCAATTTGTTGATATAACATTTATTTATATTTTAGATTTGGTTACACCTACAAGCTACAAAACAACATATATACCACTATCGATGTTTACTTTAGCGTTAATGATAACTTATAAAGTAGGTCTAAACACATGAACATAAACACTGAAAATTTCGGATTTCAAAGTGTAGGCTCTATTGACTCAAGGGCTTGCAATATAACAATCAATGTATCTTATTGACATGATAATCCATATATATGTATAGATTAATTTAGAAACTGCAATTTAATATTAATCATTAATACATATCATGAACATGTACGCAACATGTTTTACACATACTCAACTTGTAAGTTATTCATCTATATGTTTTGTTTACAAACATGTTTGCTGGCATCTTGTTTAATTCAACTAAACATTTATGTATTCATTCCCTAATGTTTGCCGGAATATTGTATATATATACTGTGGTTCATACTTATTCCTCCATGCAATGTGTTAGTATAACATGTATTTATAATACATATTTTGTGTTAACGGTCACTTATAAAGTAGTTTTAAAATGTTGATGAAAAAATAGTTGTAAGATGAAAAAAAATTGATTTTATTATTTTGAACCATTTACTATGCAAATTGGGTTACACCTACAAAACCAAACGCTCATTAATAATGGCTTAGGTTATTTACAAAATGGTTTAAAAACAATAACACGGGTTTATGAATCAATATATCATTGTTAAGAGTAGTTATCTCGATGTTTTAAATAAACAAGTTGTTTCATCGTTGTTCTATGTTAAATTGATTATCTTGGGTAATCTTGTTGGAACTCGTTTTTGACAAAATAGTTTAAGTCCATTTTCCGGTTGGTTTTCCGGTGAAGACGTTTGTCGGAAAAACCATATGTTAGGCACGAAAGAATCGTCGCCATAAACACTATGAAATAATGTATTCATATGTCAAAATCAGAATTGATTTGAATGAGAAATGAAGTTTATAAATAGGTGTTTATAAAAGCTTATAAAGTTTTTTATATTTGGCTAAGTGTTAAAATTAGCAAATAGCCCATATTAGATATTTGGATTTGAGTTTGGGTTATAATTGTTAATTGGATATCAAGTCCATTAACTTATTATAGTGAACCAAATTAAAGTTAATCTTTTGTGTTAAGACTTAATTTACACAAAAAAGAAATCCATATACTAAAATATTATTGCTTTAAATTTGATCAAAGCAAAATATCTTAGTTTATTATTACGTGGTCAAAGTCATATGGTCAAAGTCATATTGTGACTTAATAATATTGATTGCTACGTGATTTGCTCCATTATGTTGTGATATGTTTTTGGTCAATACGAAGACCATGCAATTATGTCACTTGATCTCATTCTTTTCCTATATAAAGCCTCTTGTGCTTCATAGGAAATCATTCATTCAACACAGAAAACATTCCTCACAAGTTTAGTTTCTCTCTTATTTTTCTTTTCTTTTATTTTGTGTCTGAGAGTATAACACAGAGTTAGGTTCGTTAGCTTCTATTCCGAGTGTTGCGGAATAGTCGAGTGCGGTTGTATCTTGGGATTCTGATTGCATAAACACCGTCACACTACGGGCAATTAAAGAATTAAGGAAAGAGTGTCTCGCCTCCGCACAAACCCGTTCTTCCCGTTCTTCATTTACCTTTAATTGGTATTGTGTCTTATATTTTTATTATCTCTTTATCATTATATTAAGAATTGGTCAGTTTGCCTTATAGTAGAAATTCTTGGTCCTACATTCTTAATTCTTTAATTTTTTGTTATTGTACTAACAAAAAACTGATCATTTCTTAAGTTTTATTTTTGATTAAGAACAGGTATTTTCTGGTGGTTCATTATTCAATCTAGAATTATTTTCTAGAATTTTTATTTCAGGGAAAAAATATTTTTCTCACAAATAATTTGAATCAGCTCTTACCATTATTGGTTTGTGAGAGGATTTTATTAGAGCTCAATATCCTTTTATTTTATTTATTTTATTGCTATTATTTAATTTCCAGAATTATTATTTTCGAGAACTGTTAATTATTATATTCTGGAAAATTAATTTTCAGTAATATTTTAATTATTTAATTGTCTCGAGATTATTTTGTTATATTGTTGTTAATTCTGGACTAAGCAAATAATTGGTTTGCCACAAAACATATTTTAATTGTTTGGTTTACTGGTTTAATGCTACGGTTATGTTCTCATTGTTGTCATTGTTGACTTATACTTTCTAAGAATTACTATCATTAAAGTTAGCATATTTGTTTTGTCACTTGCTGTCAATTTAATATGCATTATATTGCTTATGCACTTAATCGTGAAGTTTGAATTCATATCCCTTTGCATTGATTTTAAATTATTAATTATTTAGAATTTTATTCTGAATTTTATTTTTAATTTAATTAGTTATTGTGATTTGATTAATTGCAATATTATTCCATTGAACTTGTGACTTGGTATATTCATAAGTATATTAATTTGTTTGCTTTCTTGTGAACAGATTTGAATTCACTATGACTATTGACAACCAAGTTGGACTTGATGGGCAAAACATGGTTGCTCCCATTGATGGAACCATTGGAGGTGGTGCTCTTGGAAATGGAAATGGGTTAAGTGAGTCGACGCCCCAATTTGGGAGTGGTCAGCCACTTACAAACCCTTCAATGCCTGGCGCTGTAAGCGTAGGATTGATGCCAGAAAAGTTTGGTGGGAATGGGTTCAAAACTTGGCAACAAAAGATGCTTTTCTTTTTGACCAATTTGAACCTTGACAAGTATCTGAAAGATGATGCACCCGTTGTCCCACCAGGGAACACTGATTCAACCATTATGGATCGGTGGACCCAGTCAGACTTTCTGTGCAAGGGCTGGATTCTAAGCCGCTTGATAGACCCATTGTACAATGTGTACTGTGAGGCGAAAACCTCCAAGCAACTTTGGTTGGCCTTGGAGAAGAAGTATAAGTCCGAGGATGCTGGCTGTCAGAAATACGCTACGGCGAAATTTCTCAACTTCAAAATGGTGGATTCAAAACCCATCATGGAACAAGTTGAAGCCTTGCAATTGATTACGCATGAGATAGCGCTGAGGGTATGTCGATTTGTGAAATTTTCACTGTCAATTCCTTCATTGAGAAGCTTCCTCCAGGGTGGATGGACTTCAAAAACTATCTCACTCACAAGCGTAAGGCAATTACCCTCGAGGACTTAATTGTCAAGCTGCGGTTGAATCCCGAAACCGCGAAGCCGATGTGTTTTCATTCGTGCGAATGATGTGAACTTGGCTGAGCAAAAGAGAAATGGGAAAGGACAAATTCCTCCACACTCCTCCACAAGCTTCAAGAAGCAAGCTGAACCAAAGAAGTTCAAATGGAAGTGCCACAAGTGTGGCAAGATGGGCCACAAAGCTAATGTTTGCCGTAGCAAAGCTGGTCCAAGTGAAGACAAAGGGAAGTCTCAGGCTCACCTCACAGAAGATGACTTGTGTGCTGTGGTCACTGAAGTCAACAATGTTGAGGACAACCCAAGGGAGTGGTGGTACGACACAGGTGCCACTATCCACATCTGCAATGATAGGACATGTTTAGTACCTATCAGAAATGCAACAATGGAGAACGCCTATTGATGGGAAACACTGGTTCTTCCAAGATTGAGGGTCATGGCAAAGTGGTGCTGAAGATGACCTCAGGAAAGGAGATCACTCTCCAAAATGTGAAGCATGTGACAGACATGAGAAAGAATCTGATTTCTGGTACTCTTATGAGTAAGGCCGGATTTGCTACCAATTTCGAGTCTGACAAGCTTGTGCTCAAGAAACATGGAGTTTATTTGGGAAAGGGGTATGTTAAGGATGGACTTGTCAAAATGTGTGTCATGCCAGTCATCCGAAACTGAGTTGTAACTCCTAAGAATAATGTTGTTTCTGTTTTTTTTTCAATCAATAAGAATAATGTTGTTTCTGTTTTTCAATCAATAAGAATAATGTTGTTTCTTTTTTGATTAAGTCTTTTCTATATTTGTTATGAATGGTTAAGGCATGAAATTATATATCTATAAGAGATTGTTTAATTCATACTTATTTCCAAAATGCAAATCAAGTAAAGAGAAATGTGGGGGAAAAGCATTGCTTACCACATAAAGTCATTTACAAAATGTTTATGAATTTTGAGAAAAAGGGGCCAAGTACATTTGTACAATACCTTGAAAATGTGGGGGTACATGGAAAAATTCGAAATGCTACCTCCTAAATATTTAAAAACAATTAATCTCAAAATGAAATAATCTTTATAGATTATATTCAAGTAAATGACAACCTAGGATCCAAATATTAAAGGTGTGTCATGAGATCAAGTTGTAAAATCATCAAGAGGAATGGGTTAAAAGCCTATGACTTAAGAGGATGTTTAATGGTAACCCTACCTAAATGACTGGAGATCCCAAGAAATAGGTTCAAGGGGAAAACTAAGTTAAACTGAATCTGCCCAAAAACACTGTGAGATTTATATCTATTCCCAGTTCCTAGGATGATAAACAGTGTTACATGTATGGTATAGAGGATAAGCATTAGCTTTTAATGATTTGGGTCCATAACTTTGAAATATACATGGAGTAGTACATGATACTCCTTTAAACAAAGTTAATGGCGAATCACCTTGTGAGTGTGAAATGGGGCCGTTTCTAGGAGAATAAATAAAAGGCTATATTCTCCAACTTCACTCATGATTATCCAAGTATGTTCATGGCCAAAATGAACACAATAGAGAACCTAGTTCTGTGAGAGAATGAAACTGTGTTATAGTTGTTGTCTTGGTTTACATCAAAGCCCGAGAGGTTCAAGACATCATGTTCACCTCTTGGTCGAGTAAACCCGATAGCTATTAACAGTGATTTGGTTCAAGGCTGAAAAATGCTACCAACTCATATGCAGTGGATTTTTCGTTTATACTCTCAAAAGTCCTTTTTATTTTATTTTTCTTTCTTTTGAGTCTTTTCTTCTTTTGTTTAGATTCATTTCTATTCATGTGGGGGATTGTTGGAACTCGTTTTTGACAAAATGGTTTAAGTCCATTTTCCGGTTGGTTTTCCGGTGAAGACGTTTGTCGGAAAAACCATATGTTAGGCACGAAAGAATCGTCGCCATAAACACTATGAAATAATGTATTCATATGTCAAAATCAGAGTTGATTTGAATGAGAAATGGAGTTTATAAATGGGTGTTTATAAAAGCTTATAAAGTTTTTTATATTTGGCTAAGTGTTAAAATTAGCAAATAGCCCATATTAGATATTTGGATTTGAGTTTGGGTTATAATTGTTAATTGGATATCAAGTCCATTAACTTATTATAATGAACCAAATTAAAGTTAATCTTTTGTGTTAAGACTTAATTTACACAAAAAAGAAATCCATATACTAAAATATTATTGCTTTAAATTTGATCAAAGCAAAATATCTTAGTCTATTATTACGTGGTCAAAGTCATATTGTGACTTAATAATATTGATTGCTACGTGATTTGCTCCATTATGTTGTGATATGTTTTTGGTCAATACGAAGACCATGCAATTATGTCACTTGATCTCATTCTTTTCCTATATAAAGCCTCTTGTGCTTCATAGGAAATCATTCATTCAACACAGAAAACATTCCTCACAAGTTTAGTTTCTCTCTTATTTTTCTTTTCTTTTATTTTGTGTCTGAGAGTATAACACAGAGTTAGGTTCGTTAGCTTCTATTCCGAGTGTTGCGGAATAGTCGAGTGCGGTTGTATCTTGGGATTCTGATTGCATAAACACCGTCACACTACAGGCAATTAAAGAATTAAGGAAAGAGTGTCTCGCCTCCGCACAAATCCGTTCTTCCCGTTCTTCATTTACCTTTAATTGGTATTATGTCTTGTATTTTTATTATCTCTTTATCATTATATTAAGAATTGGTCAGTTTGCCTTATAGTAGAAATTCTTGGTCCTACAAATCTTATAAACGTGTCCATATTCTAAGGATCAATATAGTCCCATATACTAGTTTTACACATTTACTTGAGGCCAACAAAAGCAATCGAAGCAGCAATATAATAAATCTTCATCAAGTAAATCTTCATATATTTACTTGATGTCAATCCCATGGGAACCTTTCGTTTCGAATCTCAAAGTGTAGTATCCATTAATTAATCAATATATCTTGTTGGCATAACAATCCATACATATTTCATAATTGCAATTTAATATGTTTTTAATAATAGGCTACACAAATTCAAGTTGTAGGCTACTCATAAACAGTTTTGGTAATGTTAGCCGAAATATAGTGTGAATAAATTTGCTAGTCTTACATTTATCTATAACAGATTTGGTTACATCTACAGTCAACATGGACAGCAGCTCATAGACGGTTGGTTCAAATAAATATAGATCAAACTCATTTACGATATGAACATAACAGGGAATGTCCAACTCCGTCTATGGACAAATGTGAATGGACGTGTGTAGATATGGGGTAAAATTATTTCTCACAATTTACAGAGAGTTAAAAAATCAAATTTTCAAACTTTTAGTTTACATAATTTTTTTCCATGGACAGCCCATTTTAAATGATCCATAATAGACAGTATTGGACGGACTAAAATGGATGTGGACACTGAATACCCATATTGACAGCTTTACATCTACAAAACAAAATGTCACATATCAGTGTTTACATTAACTTAGTGTTAACTCTCATCTATAAAGTAAATTTAAAAGGAAAAAACTATTTATGAATCAATGTTATTATGTTTTGAAGTTTGAACCACTTTATGCATATCTTTACAATTTTGTTTTAAACATATTGTTTATTTATTTTTCTAAATAATTTTGAATTGTGTTTTTTTTTATTAATAATCATTTTTTAACAAAAAAATTAGCAATGATAATTTTGTAATCAATAGTCTTGTTCCAACCAATTATACCAAATATTTAGCTAGTAAAAGGTTCAGTTAAAAATGGAAATTGTTTTATGGCTTGGACTTACATGTAAATACAATGTCCTAAGATCTTGTGACAAAATTATGTTCGAATTTCCATAAACATTAAAAACCTTTTCTAGAAACAAATTTCATGAGTTTGGATAGAATAGAAAAATGAAAATTGATGCTGTTGAATGACTTTTTTTTTTTTTAACAATTCAAAGTTTTTATACTATTAATACTACAAAACTAAAACTAACTATATAACAATTAATAACTTTCGATAGATATTTTGATGGATGGCAATATAGCATTAATTTACAATTTTCTTAAACATTCAGTTTTACTAAGAACAAAGTCCTGAAAATAGTCAAAACTAAATACGATTTGGCAATTATGATACACAATTTTCAATCTCTAATTATTATTTTTTTTAAAATAAGGCAGACATTAATATAAATTTCATACTTTTAGTTAACTAAGATCTATTAATTTTTTTATTATTGATGTACATGAGATTGTGAATGATTTGAGATATGAGAATACCAAGATGGACCTTACATTCTGATTCTCCAATCCGGCATCGTTTATTGATGACAATAACGGCTCACAAAATTAAAGGGAAAAGGGAAATCTGGAAAAAGGCGCGTTTTCTTTTCTCCTTTAAATTGAACCTTTTTGTGGGCCCCACAAGGTTGGCTCAGTGTTTGTTTCAGTTCAAAAAAAGGCATATAATTATTTTCCGTTTGGCCGCTTCCTTTTCGAAACTCCTCTTTCTCACTTTGTCAGGCTTTTCTTGTCTCACCAAAAACCACATACGGATCTAATTGGTGTTTCCCTTCTTCTTCTTCGTCTGATTGATTTCTGTAAGTAATTAATCATTTCCACAAATCATCTCCAAACTGATTGGTGCTTTCTTCTTCGTCTGTTTGATTTCTGCAAGTAATTTATATCATCATTAGTCTTCTCGATTAATTTAACTGTTCCTCTTTGTATGCGTTTCTATGTTGCTTCTCTACGTGTCGATTCAAATTCCTCTTTCGTTGATTCCCGATTGTTTGCAGATTTGTGCGTTGCTTTTTTTTTCTTTCTGATTGGAGCTGTCGGATCTTCGGCATATTTGAGGTTTCTTTATGAATTGAGAAATTATTTGGTTCGAGAAGATTGCGATCTCTACGAAATTATTTGCTTTGTTGGTGATTGATGTTTCGTCTCTTCTCTTTGATTTATGAATTGCAGACTGATTACGCGTTTTTACTGTGTTGGACACTTTTATAGAAAGTGGTAACAATAATACCTCTTTTACTCGCTTGACCAGAAGAAAAATGTCAAGGCTAAACACAGAAATTGATTCAGCATTTCAAGGTGTTGGCACTAAAGGGTAAATAATATTTACCTCTTGAAATAATTTTTCTTTTTTATTCCCTCTTATGCTTATACCATTTTTTTTTGACTAGTGGCTTGGAGATTTGGTGCGTCTATAACAATCAGCTTATATCTATCCCAAAGTCTTCTTTCGGAAGATTCCACTCTGGAAATGCATACCTTGTTCTCTGCGTAAGTTGTGACAAACTTTGAAAATAGTGTGACTAATAATAATTAAATTCTCATGATTTTCTTTGCCATAATGTTGTAGACGGCTTTGAGGAAGATTGGAAATCCACAGTTTGATATTCACTATTGGCTAGGAAGTGATGCAAATGAGGTTTTTTATATATGATTTATTTTTTTTCTGAAATAGTCATCATCATCATCACATAAATAAGATTGCTTTACACTTTTTGTTTTTTTTATGTGAAGGTGGACTCAGTTTTGGCGTCTGACAAGGCACTAGAGTTAGATGAAGCACTTGGTTGTTGTACGGTGCAATACCGGGAAGTTCAAGGTCAAGAGACAGAGAAGTTTCTCTCATACTTCAAACCTTGTATTATACCTGTTGAAGGGAAGTTTTCTCCACAAAATGGATTCGCTGGTGAGACATATCATGTCACCTTGCTAATGTGCAAAGGAGATCATGTTGTTCGTGTTAAAGAGGTATGCTTTTGTTTGGACAGGAGTCTTGTCTTCTTTGTTTTTTGTTTTGACTATGAGCTTGATTGGTTTTAATCTACACAAGGTGCCTTTTCTTCGGTCATCACTGAACCAAGATGATGTGTTCATTCTAGACACTGCATCAAAAGTTTTTCTCTTTTCCGGATGCAACTCAAGCACTCAGGAGAAAGCTAAAGCCTTGGAGGTTGTGGAATATATAAAAGATAACAAGCATGCAGGAAGATGTCAGGTGGCCACTATCGGTTAGATCTTTACTTCCTCTTGAGCTTCCTTTTTTTGGGACTGAAATATGAAAGCAACAGCTAATCTGTTTCTGTTTCTTGTAGATGGTGGAAATTTTTCAGGTGATTCAGATGCTGGTGAGTTCTGGTCTTTCTTTGATGGTTATGCTCCCATTCCCAAGTTTCCATCTTCTTCTACCGCTCAACAACAGTCTCTAGCTACATGTGCAAAAATGTTCTGGTGAGACTAGAACAGACTCCAGCTGCTTTGATGATTTTTGAGGAGATGTTGTCAAAGACAGACCATCATTAACCATGTAAACATCTTTCATTAACAGGATAGATACTCGGGGAAATCTACATCCAACTGGAACAAGTTGTTTGAACAAAGATATGCTTGAAAAGAACAAATGCTACATGCTGGATTGTGACAGAGAAGTATTTGTTTGGATGGGAAGAAGCACATCACTCACAGAAAGGAAGACATCCATTACAGCCTCAGAAGTGAGTATATGTTGGTAACTGGTAAGATAAAATGATTGATATGACATTATAGTTAAAATGATATGATTTGGCATTTTGCTATGCTCTAGGAATTTCTACGTAAGGAGGGACGATCGACTAGTACTAGTCTAGTGCTTTTAACGGAAGGATTAGAAAATGCAAGATTCAGGTCATTTTTTGATAAGTGGCCTCAGAGCGCAGAGTCTAACCTTTTCAATGAAGGTCGAGAAAAAGTGGCAGGTCTGTTGCAAATTGCTCTGGTTGTGTTAAGAGGAAAACTACAAAGAATCAGATACTAAACTAAAATTCTAAACACATTTTATGCAGCCATGTTCAAACGGAAGGGTTATGATCTTGAGGAGTTTCCTGATGAAGAAGAAGAAGAACATCTCTATACAAACTGCCGAGACTCCCTCAAGGTACTCCATGTCTAATACCAGAAAATGTCACATCTTATAAGCATAGGTCTGAGAAATGAGATTTGAAGCTAATTTCAGGTTTGGCGTGTAGATGGTGATGAGATCTCGCTTCTCTCAATTCCTGACCAGACAAAGCTATATAGTGGCGATTGCTATATTGTTCTGTATAAATATACTTACAATGAAAGAAACGAACATCTATTATATGTATGGATAGGTTGTGACAGTATGCAGGTACGCAGGCTGTAGTCTTTGCTTGTTGTTTCTTTTCTTTTCTTTAACTGTCAGTCATTTGTGATTTGTTCCTTTTTTCCTTTCATTGCAGCAAGATAGAGCTGATGCCATCTCCAATGCTAGTGACATTGTTGCTTCAACCAAGGGTGAATCTGTAATGGTTAGTTGCAAAAAATAACACTTCACATTCTTTCTTTTCCAATTCAACACTGTAAACCAACTGACCTATTTCATCCAATATTCTTGATCTAGTGTCAAATATATCAGGGCAACGAACCTGTTCGTTTTTATGCAGTGTTCCAGTGGCTAGTTGTGTTTAAGGTCAGTTTGCAATACTTTTATTGAACATTTAGAAATTTAGATTGATATGTGACTGTACTTGTTACAGATTGTTATTATTTTTATTTTTTTTTAATTTAGGGTGGTTTGAGTAGACGGTACAAGATGTCTCTAGTGGAGGATGCAAACAAAGTTGAAATATCTAATGAGAGCAAGACTACACTTTTCCGTGTTCAAGGGACAGGCCCAAGTAACATGCAAGCAATTCAAGTTAATCTAGTGGGTCCTTTCTTACTTTCTCCTATTCTGATTTGAAAATAAATACATGTCTTTGGTCATCGACCTAAACGAATATCGTCCACTGCAGGCAGCAACCTCCTTGAACTCATCCTACTGCTACATTCTACAAAACGAAGATTCTGTCTTCACTTGGATGGGGAACCTTTCCTCAGACTCTGATCATGATGTTCTTGACAGAATGCTTTACTACCTTGATGTAAGTACCTTTAACTCTCAGTTCCTGTCTACTGAGTTCATGACTTACAATCTCACATTGGTTCTGTTTGCTCCTTTTTCATTTGCAGACACCTTGGCAACCAATGTCCATGAAGGAAGGAAATGAAACAGACACATTTTGGGATTTACTTGGTGGGAAGTCAGAGTACCCAAGAGAAAAGGAAACGAGAAGACAAATAGAAGAACCACATTTATTTACATGTTCCTGCAGTTCAAGTAATGGTAAAAAAATCTTCCATGTGCATATTTGTCGTCTGACATTATTGTTTACTTAGCTATAAACACTTGTACTGTGCCTAACGTAAAAGTTGTCCATGACTGGTTTGACTCTTCTGTTCAGACGTACTCAAGGTAATGTATTTATGCTGTCTATGAATAGTTATAGATTACAGATCAGGTCGGAATTACACTTATCTGATTTTCATTATCTGCATGTTTTTTCAGGTGAAAGAAATATACAATTTTGTGCAAGACGATTTAACTACTGAAGATGTATTATTGTTGGACTGCCAAAGTGAAGTATATGTCTGGATTGGATCAAACTCAAACGTAAAGTCGAAACAACAAGCTCTCGCTCTTGGTCTGGTTAGTTTCCTCTTTATTTGGCCTACCATATGTATTCTGTTTGTTTGAAGTAGCTACTTCACAGACATCAAACAGAGTTAAACTAGAACAGCTGCATAAATAAGAGTAAGAATGACAAAATTTTGTCATTGAACATCTCTTTCTTCTCTTCTACTTGTGAGATTACAGAAATTCCTAGAGATGGACATTCTGGAAGAAGGTTTGGCCTTGATGACTCCTGTGTATGTTGTCACAGAAGGCCACGAGCCACCGTTTTTCACTCGTTTCTTTGAGTGGGTTCCTGAAAAGGCAAACGTAAGTCATCTCAAACAGAGGAGAGATTCCAAAATGTTTTGATAGTAGTCTAGTGAATTTTCAAGTTTTGGGTTTTTGTCCAAATTGTAGATGGATGGTAATTCATTTGAAAGGAAGCTTGCTACTCTTAAAGGAACGAAGCCAAACACTAAGGTAAGTCACAGTCAAAATACCTTAATTACTTCACTTGACATGTGTTACAATCATGGCTTATAAACTCATACAAAACCATAAACTTGGACATGCGAGAGTAGACATGTTTTAACAGCTATGATCGTAAACTAGCCACAGATATAAGAATGATCCATGTGTGTTTTAAGTAGCCTACAACATTTGTGCTTTCAGAGATCTAGTGGAAGCTCGTGGAGATCACACTCGAAGGAGAATGCATCACGTGATTTACGAAGTCGATCTGTGAGCTCAAACGGAACAGAGCGAGGTGTATCACCTTCCTCGAGTGTGAGCTCTGCACAAGACAGAAAAAGCAGCAGCAACTCCACTCCAGTTGTCAAAAATCTTTTCTCAGAAACTCTTTCAGTGGATACTAGTAATGGTAAAGGTTTCATATGTCAACATTTTCATTCAAGTTCTTGGTTATATAACTCTTAAGTGGATTTAATTGCAGGATCGGCGAGAGAAGCTTCGAGCTCCAACACAGACATTTCTAAAGAGAATCAGCTCGGAGGAATCAATCTCGATCTTAGTCTAGAGTCACTTGCATATTCATACGAACAGCTTAGAGTTGATTCTCAGGAGCCGGTGAAAGATATAGATGCAACAAGAAGAGAGGTACATTCCTGCAATTCCATATTAAATTTAGCTATATATATATATATATATATATATATATATATATATATATTTACAAACACATGAAGTTTAATGCAATGTTGTCTTTCAGGCGTACTTAACAGAGAGAGAGTTTGAAGAAAGATTTAAATTGACAAAACCCGATTTCTATGCACTTCCAAAATGGAAACAGAACAAACTTAAAATCTCTCTCCATCTTTTTTAAAGGCCTCAGATCCATTAATTAACATCTTTGGAGCAACCAAAGCGAGCTAAATTTTCAGGTTTAACCAAATGAACACTTGTGAATTGTGATGTTCTTGTTTACTAATTGCTTCATTGACTTTCTGTTGTAAATTGATTCTTCCTTGTTACAAGACCACAAAACCAAACAAAGCGGCACCTGTTATAGTAAGAAGGGAGAACAAGAAAAGAGAGAAATTAGTTATCTATTATTCCATCGATAATGAGCTCCTTTTGTCATGTTTAATGTCTCTTCTGGAGATCACTCAAAAATATTTGTTTCCTCGGTTTGACCATTGTCAATTTCTGCTCTTTTACTTTTTCGAGGATTTTAATATTTGGAACCGACAAGTCTATCACGCTTCATGCGTTCTTTAGACTCACTAGCAGCTTGATATTGTCCTTCTGGGACATCAATTCTTATTAGAGCATTTACAGCTGGTAAGTGACTCAATCACTATATTTGGGTCAGTAAATGTATCTGGCAACTGATACAATAAGTTTTGTGAATGAACTATCTTTTGGACTTCTATTTCACATTCTATAGTCCGAGGATCAATGATAATTCATTCAAACTACTTTTCTTTCCAGCCTTTTATTTCTCCCCCTGATGTTGGAAAGACTTATCCATTAACATGGTAGTCTATAAATCGAGCCTTACTTAAATCCTTCAGGGATAGCTCTAGATATTATCAATGGAGATTCATATCCAACATCTACAATCTCTTTTGAAGATCCATCTTATATTGCTGTGGTGGAGCAATGTGGATGTTGCACATCCAAAGGTTTCTGACCCAAAACCAATTTTGATGGGGAGAACTTTTAGTTACTTGTTGGCTTTATGCGAATTAATGCTTTTGTGTATGAACATTATCTACTGATGTTCAATGTGTATTTAGTTCTTACAAACATGTTTTTCTCATCAAGACTTAAGATGTGATTCACTAGCACTACTAAGTAATCTTGCAAACTTCAGGTTGCAGATTTATAATATAGATACATACATAAAATTTTCTTAGAGGATGATTAGTCCACAAAATGGGTTATTAAACCACATATGTTTCTTGTATACTCTCTAGAAAATGAATAGACTCAAAATCTATTTTGGCTAGTGATAATTGTTGTATTATCATAATCTCATAGATAGAATATCACATTAGAAATCATTAGAAGAATCTTCTAGTTCTTCAACAAATGTCTACATGTTGTATTTTACTTCGCATAATTCTTGAACTGGAATGGTCTAACCAGTTCATGCCAAATATATTATATTCAGGTAAACTTCTGGTTTACTATATAACATCTATTTAACTTTTCCTATTTATTGTATATTGAAATTGAATTCATTACTTTATATATGATTCATAGGATCATTATCTTTGAATATAATCTTCTGGATTATGAATTAGGGATTCTTATTTTTCTTGATCAATGATCAAGTTTATCTTGAGTGTGAACATAATCTTCTAGATGTTCCATTTATTATTGATTGTGGGATTCATCCATTCTCCCCCTCGAGATGATGATACTTCAGGTTCATCTATCTCGAATTGAATTCCAATATAAAATCAATAACCTCTTTAACCATTTACTTGTATATCACATTCACTTCAGGGAATTGATCATAACCAATTGGATATGATTTTCATCAATAATTCAATATTTTGTAAAATTGTCTAAATTATTTTGTCTACAGGACAATATGACAATATTATTTAGAGTATGCTTTTTAGCATCTCTATTGATATACATTATCTTCTATATAGTTAAAAGTTATTTACAGACTTCAGGTCTTGTAATCTTTCATGAAAATTTAAGATATCATATAGAGAATAATAAAATAAAAATAAAAATAAGTATATATAAATAAATAGAGCATAATCAAAATAAATATTAATAATATATACCATTTATTATCACTTCTGGTGACAAATTTAGTTTAAAATAAAATTAGAAAGATAAGATATAATTTGAATAAATTCTCAAATTATATTATCACTTCAGGTGATAATGTTTTTTGTGTCTGCAAGACAACAAAATTTTCTTGATGTATTTTAACATCTTCATAATATTTATTATCTCCACTTATAGACTTCAGGTCATGTGGTTTTTGATGCAAATACTAAATAATAAAATATAAAATAAATAAATATTATCAAGCTATAAATGTATAAGTAAAACATGATAACAACAATTAATATTAGTAACATGTACTATTTTATTATCACTTCAGGTGACAAATTTAATTTTAAAAGAAAATAATATTAAAAATCATTAACAATTTCTTTGCTATTGTGTCTACTGGACAACAATATTTTATAAAATACTCTAAACATATTTATATTATTGTGTCTTCAGGACAACAATATTTTCTTGATTTCTTAACACATTTGTATTAGTAGTATTATTTCCACCAATAAACTTCAAGTTTATGTGGTCTTAGATGCAATAATTTTCTTTAGATTGCTCGGTTAGATCATATCACTTCTGGTGATTATTCATTTTCTTTAGATTATATCACTTCCAGTGATAATTCCTCTTTAGATAGATCTATGATCACATCTTATTATCATCAAAATATGATGAAATACAGATATTTATAAAATATATGATCTACACATATAATCTATCAAACGATTTTCTAAGAAATAAAACAACAATATTTTTTTGGTTTGAGAGAATGATCGAAACCAATTTAATATAAACAAACCAAATATATCCAACTGAATAATATTAAATTATGAAAATTGCCCAAACTTCTATGGCGATAAGCAAGTTACGGAATCAAAGTATATACATGCATAAGTACTTTCTATAAATCAATAAGGAAATATGTTTTTCTCTAGTCAACTTAACCATGATCAAATATAGGGTTGGCTCTAGACTAAAATACCAAATCACCAAACCAATGATTTATCAATAAACAAAAAAAAATACTAGGTTTTCGATCAATGGCGAAGCATTTTTTCAAGCAATAAAGCGATAATACCACACACTAATGATTTCTAACAACTAAAGAACAATAATTCAGCCACACATAACAAAATCATTAAAAGTATGATCCAGATAACCAAGGACAAATTCTTATCAGTTTATTTTGAACAAATCAAGTATGACATATTACAAACATCGATCTACTATATATGGTGATAGTTTCAGATTCTAAAACAGCATTTTATACTTGGGTTTCAATTGTAAAAGTTATGAACACAAACCAATAATTATCTTAACCAGTTGAAACCAAATAAAACAATAAACCAATAAGTAATATAAGCCTAGAAAAATAATAAGACGAAACCTCAAGTAATGTGTTCTACGAAGAACTTTCAAATTCATTGGAAGCAATAAAATATAAATCAAATCAAATATGTTAAAATAAGAGTCAGTGAGTGTGATATCTAATGAGCAAAACGAATTAAGGATATAGCTAATTCTCATATATGAAATAAATCAACGAGTCATATATGATAAAGCCAACGAGTGGCTAAAAACGATAATTAAGATTATAAGTAATATGTATATGGAAATGAAATAATAAACAATATAAAATCTTTTTAAGATATAATATAAATTTTTCAGGGATATTTTTCATAGTATTAATCCTTCGGGGACACAAATACTTTAGGGATATAAATCATTCAAGGATTAAGATGATAAACACAGATCAACAAAATAATATAAATTATTTATTGAATCTTGTTTAATTTTTGGAAATAAGGAAATTTGATTTCCACTTACCTCTTAGCTTAGACGGCTAGGGTTTTAACCTAATGGTTAGAGACTCGTGCTGATAATGTGTTATAGTAAGAAGGGAGAACAAAAAAAGAGAGGAATTGGTTATCTATTATTCCATCCTTCTTATATCAGAATACAACATAGGGTTTTCCTTGGAAAGAAATACACTTGGAGAACAAACTAGAACATTCTAGAATATGGGCCGATAATGGGCTTCCATATAAACTAATTACAACAGCACCTAAATTTATTACAAGACCCCAAAACTAGTTTCTGTTCAGGCAAACGACGTCGTATACAAGAGATGTTGTTCAGAAAAAAAAACATGATTTTTTAATGTTAAAAATAAAATAAAATAAAATCTGAAACTTTTCTGATCTTCTTCACTTCCTCATCGAAATTGACCTGCGAAAACTGGAATAATCAGTAACCAACCAAAAAAAATGGATCGAAACCAAAGACACAGAAGAAGCATTCTAGATTCATTAGGCGAAGAGCTGATCGGAATCCTCGCACCAGTCTCGATATGTATGTTCACCGTCGTTCTCCTAGTCTGCGTCCTAAACTCGGACCCATCCTCCTCCTCATCCGCCTCTTTTTCCTCCATAGCCACCGCAGCTTACACCGAGAGCGACTCCGATTCCCCCTGGGACAGATTCGTAGGCGCCTCCTTAAACTCACTCGTCTTCGTCGCCGCGATCACCGTCGCGACGTTCGTGCTCGTGCTTCTCTTTTACCTCAGATGCGTCAATTTCCTGAAATTCTACATGGGTTTCTCGGCATTCATAGTTCTAGCGAATTTAGGCGGAGAAATCTTAGTCCTTTTGATCGACCGATTAAGATTCCCGATCGATTCCGTCACGTTCCTGATCCTCCTCTTCAATTTCTCCGTCGTCGGTGTCTTCGCCGTCTTCATGTCGAGATTCTCGATTCTGATCACTCAGGCTTACTTGGTTGTGATCGGCGTCTTAGTCGCTTTCTTCTTCACCATGTTACCTGAATGGACAACTTGGACTCTCCTCGTAGCGTTAGCGATCTACGACGTCGCCGCTGTTCTCTTACCTGTTGGCCCTTTGCGTCTCCTCGTGGAAATGGCGATTTCGAGAGACGAAGACATACCGGCTCTGGTCTACGAAGCGCGGCCGGTTATCCGAAACAACGAGTCCGGTTTGGTTCAGAGGAGAGTTTGGAGAGAAAGAGGATCTAGCCAGAGTTATCACTCCAGTGATATCGAGAACGCTTATAGAGAAGCAGAAACAGAATCGGAAGGAGAAGAAGATGTTGGTTCGAGCGAGAGATCGGAGATATCTGTGCCGTTGTTGATTGATCGGAGACCTGATCAAGGTGAGAATTCGGAGACTTTTCTTGAAGGGATTGGGTTGGGATCAACAGGAGCGATCAAGTTAGGTCTTGGCGATTTCATCTTCTACAGTGTTTTGGTTGGGAGAGCTGCGATGTATGATCTGATGACGGTTTACGCTTGTTACTTGGCGATCATAGCCGGTTTAGGTGTCACGTTGATGCTCTTGTCTGTGTATCAGAAGGCTTTACCGGCTCTTCCTGTATCGATCATGTTGGGCGTTGTGTTTTACTTCTTGGCAAGGTTGTTGCTCGAAGAGTTCGTTGTTCAGTGTTCTTCAAACCTTGTCATGTTCTAAAAAAAAGGTGATTTTTTTAATGTGTAACTTTTTAAAGTAGTTTCATTAATTTTCAGTCAAAACAGTTTGTTTAGTTTTAAAACCAAATCAATTAAGCCAAAAATGGGCAGAGTATAGTGTCTAATAATGGATTCGGTTTCTAAGAGAGAAATTCAGGAGAAATGGATCTGACATTTTGATGAAACTCTAGGAAGCATAGTAAGATCATTGGTGATTCTCTTGTAGTTGTTGTAAACATTTCTGTCTTGTCGGCGATCCACTTCAACACCAACCTTGACCATGACAGTTTCAAGACATTTCAGATTTTCCAAGAAATGTCTCATCTGTTTCAGCTCTCTATCAGTTCCTCCATACGCTAAAATGTTTAGCACCTTCACATGACATGTCGATAAACAACATACTTCCTCTTCCTCCTCCTCCTCCTCCTTCTTCTTCTTCTTCTGAGTGATGCAAACGCAGGCGTTACCGCATTTATTTGTAACTTTGTGCACAAGACCCTGAAAGCATTAACAGTAATTAACAATCTAGCAAAGAAACAAAACAAAGCATATGTGTGTTATTATTAGTAATTACCTTGATGACTAAAGTTTCTAGGCTTGGAGAGTTGTTGAGGAGAAGTGGCAACACTTGCCATCCTTTTTCTTCGTTGCTCTCAATAGATAGAGTAAGGAGGTTGTGAAAGACCGGCATCGATTTACAGTCATAGTGAAACACCTGATTTAACCAGCTAGCATTAGATTTGATTATCCATGTTCTTCAAAACTAAGATAATCAAATGAAAGAGAAGGAAGTAGTGAAACTTAACCTCAAGAGAATCAGGAGACAAGTGAAGAGTCTTAACTTTGCTTATCCCAGCGACCAGATAGTAACATCACACAAAACCTCCTCTTCATCACTATCATCATCATCATCCTCATCCTCATCCTCACGATCACTATCATCATGATCACTATCATCATCCTCATCATCATCATGTTCACAACGACTACAGTACTTGTCATCCTTTATCTTTTCATCATCCTTACCAAAACCCCAATCGTCATCATCCTCATCATCATCATCACTATCATCATCATGTTCACAACGTCTACAGTACTTGTCATCCTTACCAAAACCACAATCCTCATCATCATCATCGTCATCCTCCTCCTCATCATCATCATCATCATGTTCACAACGACTACAGTACTTGTCATCCTTTATATAGTCATCATCCTTACCTAAAGCAGTATTACCACCCTCACCAGTATCATCAATACCATTCATATCCGCATTCAAAACTCGCTTCCCGGAAAACCGAAGATCCAGTTTAGCTTCCACAAGCGAACCGAAATCAGCATGATACTGATCCGTGGCGTAACCAGAATAGTCAAGGTACAAAAGACTCGGCGTCTTAAACCACACAGTATTAGGAACCTCATGGTCACCAGGAAAGCCGTAAGAGATGGCCAGTCGCTTAACGGTAAGACTCGACACAATGGTGGAAGGATTAAAAAACACCTCTTCATTCATCATAGCCGAGGAACGATCAGCATCATAATGTATGAACAGTTCCTCAAGCACAGGGGAGCCAGAGATGAGATACTCATAAACCTCACTACCTGCAAGCCCAACTAAAACGAGAGATAGCGTCTTGAGCTTCGGGAAAAACACGACACTGTGAGGGATGTAACCATCGGTCCGAAACGTAACGGATAATGCCAACGTGAGGTTAACGAGCGTGTTGCTCGTGAAGAACTCGGTTTGTAAGAAACCCATACACACGCTCTGCAAATGAAGCTCCGAGAAGCCACGCTTCAGGACAGTGTGAATCCACGTGTCGACTCGGGTTTTGTCGTGCTTGTGCTCGCAGTTGAGAGAGAATCTCTTGATGATTGAGGAGTTGGTTAAGAGAGCGAGTGTTTTGTCGACGAAATCGGAGAAGCCACGAGGATTACCTGTTGCGTCGTTGAAATCAAGGTTTTCGACGAGGGAGAGAAGATTCCTCCATCTTTTGGACAGAACCGATGTGGAAGCAACAAGCTTTGTCGGAAGCAGTGACAGGATTTTTCCGAGAACCTCATCTGGCAGGCTGCTGATTAAATCTCGAGAAACACCCTTTGAGACTCTTTGGGCAGACATGGATTAGGGTTTTCCAGTTTTAACCTATCCAACAAGAAATTCGATTAGGGTTTAATTTTTTTCCCACAAGACAAGTAAATCAAATGAGATTCCTCAGAATCAGGCCATACTAATTCAAGACGATGAGTTGAGTCGAATATGTATATATTAGAAAGGAAAAATAAAATAAAAAAAGAGTAGACTTACGAAACCAGAAGAGGGATGCGAACAAGACTATGGGTGTAACAAGGAAGATCGAAGAGGAAGATGAAGGAGAAGAAGCTTGGTGAGAGAGCGAGAACACAGCGTTTCGTTAGTGGGACATCGATTGGGCCTTTGATTCTTTTGAATTGGACTTTCATTCATTTTTTATGAAAGAAACTGTTCTGTTGAGAAAATCTTGAAATGTAACATTGCAATGCAAGAAAGCAGAAGTAAGTAGGCATTGTAATCTCATTGCTGGTTTTTCTCCTGCGTTTAAATTTGGAAATGGTAAATAAAGAAATAAAGAAACAGAAAATCTGGAAAAAAAAAGTCTCTATATGAATGTTTTGTTCAAAAAGCTACACCTAGAGTTTATGGAAGCAACACCATAAAGTCGTCCACAAACCTTGTCTTGGCTTATCTCAATGCTGAAGCAAGAGATAACAAAACCGTTAACCGTTATCAAAAAGCTTCACCACTTGTGTCTTTTCTTGCTTGTGGATCACTCAAACATATTCAAGAAGAGAACAGAAAACTTCTAAACTTCTAAAACCACACAAAAGAAAAGATTTGAAAGTTTCTGACAAAGATTTCCTGAGCACCCCAAACAACCCTAGAATACGGAGAAGAAATCATCACAATTTTGCTTTTCAGTACACTACCATTGAAGAAAAAGGAAAGTACCTCATACTAGAGAGAAACTAACCGAAGATTACAGAGAGAGAAAAAAGCGAACAGACCTCCGGTGACATTGACGACGACGAGAGCTCGATTTTGGGAAATAAATGAAGACAACTCCAGAGATGAGGTTCGCGTTTTCATGGGGGTTTACGAAAGAGCTACGTGTACGACAATGAATCGGGCACGTGACAAAGTGCTACTTGCAAATATGTTGGATTTCGAATATAATCGTCGTGGATCAATCAGTGGAAAGTGGTCAACGAAAAATTCAACTAAAACTTTCAAATATAAAATAATTTCATTACAAAGAAAGAGCTTCGAGATAAAATGAAACCAGATAAGATAAAGGTTCAAAAGACAAACACAATTGAGCTGAGTCTATGATAATAGAAAGTTAACAAATGTTGTTTTGAGAGAAAGAGTAAAAACCATCTCAATCACTATTACTTCAAACACAGTTTAAATCATTTTCTTGGAGTGTTTGCAGTAGAAATTGCATGAACCTCATGGGTTCCGCCTCAGAAGTCGGAAACACCCAATTTTTTAGTTTCCAGCATTGATCCGTATCCACGCCGTTGGTATACATATACCTCTCAAGACAACTATCCTGTTAAAACATAAAATAACCATCATAAAAACTCGGGGAAAATTCAAAACTACACTTTTTTGTATGGATATTTTCAAAACTACACTGTTTTGATAGACATTTTCAAAACTACACTTTTAGCTAAGGTGTCTATAACAACTGTACACTTTCAAAACTAAACTACATTTTGAAAAGTACACTTTTTCATTGAGTAATAACAACTGTAAAGACAAAATCTAAACTCTAAACCTTAAACCCCAAAATCTAAACCCTGATTAGAGATTAGAGAATCCAAACTTAGATATTAAATTTAGAAAATGTGTAATTTTGAAAATTAAAACCATAGATAGAGGTGTAGTTTTAAAACTTAACACCCGGTGTATTTCTTAAAAAATTTCTAACCCCAAAAGTTCAAATTTTTATAAATACCATATCATATACATATTATAAAAAAATAAAATAAAAAAACGAAAGACATGGTTTTTGGATTTAATTATATACCGGAATGATGAAGATGAAGCGTTGAACCATGTCAAGTTTAACCTTCTTCAAACTTGGCGAGTTTTGTAGCAGTTTTGCTATACCAGGAATAACAGACGCAGCAATCACCGTTTTAAGAGTCAGAACTTCCACTTTGAGTGTCGGGAAAGGAACATCACAGGCCTCGGCAAGAGATAAGATCTAACAATACAAAATTGACAAATGCATTGTTAATAATATAGTGAGTTAGTGACTATCGAAAACACATGACAAAGAAGTATAGTTTGGCATGTGCTTATGCTATTGATTGTTACAAACATTCATAAACCAACAAAACTATCAACTATGCAATCAAGCAACTGATTATGTGAAAGAACAAGCTTACCTGAAGAAAGATAGCCCCAAAAGTAAGCTTCTTCGCGTTCTTCAACTTTTCTAGCATATCCACTATCATCAGTAGAACCAAATCAGTTCCACTATCACTAGTGCAAAAGACCTCAAGCTCCGTACAGGTAATGTCCACGCTAGCTTCGGTTAAAGAAGAGACAGTTACTAAATCACATTTATGATGAGTGTGATTCAGTGTCAAACAATGGACATGTGGTGCCACAATCTGCATTGGTCCCAAGGTGTCTATAGCCAATCTCCTCAACTTCAGAGAGCCGCTCAGATCAAGATGCTCAAGATCCAGACAGTAAAATAATGCCAAGCTTTCAAGCAGTGGAGAACCAGAGAGGATCTTAGCAAACGATGCATCGGAAAGTTTGCAGAAATTCAGATACAGGATCCTTAGAGACGTCCAAGAGACGACGGTGGGAACGGTTACGATGTTTCCCGTGTTGACGGAGAGTAGCTTCAAAGAGGAGTTGGTGTAGAAGAGATCAGGAAACTCGTAATTCTTAAAGCAAGGATCACGGAACGCCAGAAACATCATCTCCGCCATGCCTAACTCGATGAAGCTATCAACCTGGGATTTGGTTGTAGCTGGTAGAACAAAGGAGCATAGGCACACACCTTGACCACTGTTGACATCGTCGCTGATACAGAGATTGGAGCTAATGATTCTGGGAGCAGAGTAGTGGCGAGTTAAGGTTTCCATGATTGCGTCACGCTTTCTCTTAAGGAAATCAATGGAGAGAGTAGGTGTGCCGCACCATACATGCCTCCAACGCGTGGACAATGCAGATGTTCTGATGGCGAACTTTGTCGGGATAGAGGACAAGATAACATGGAGGATCGGATCCGGTAAAGAGCTGATGAAATCTACACCGTCGATCACTTTGTCTTCGTTGGGAGAAGGAGAATCAGAGTGGTGGCTACGGTTAGCGCCTTCTCCCTCTTGTAGGAGAAGATCGTCCGCCATTGCTTCACGAACCTCTTAACAAAACTTTAGTAATGGTATGTTGAAACCCATATGTGAGTTTCAATCCTTATCACAAGAGATCTTAATATATAAAGATGGGTGCAATGTGTATGATTATCAGAAGATATTTTAACATATAAGATGTGAGCAACGTGACTGAGACAGCTTCGTAAGATATCTTAACATATAAAGATGTAACATGTATGATTGTTTGAGCATATCTTTAATATAAAATAAGCGCAACGTGGTTTCAACACGTATGATTAGCATAGGATATCTCAACATATAAAGATGAGCGCAACATGGTTATAACATGTATAATTATCAGAAGATATCTTAACATAAAACGAGTGCAACATGGTTGTAACACATAATTATCAGAATATATTTTAACATAAAATGAGCACAATATATTTTAACATATTAAGATGTGTGCAACGTGAACAATTCAGTATCGGCCAATGAACCAAACACAATCTGTTTTTAGCATATTGAACTCTCTTTACACTAGAGAAGATTTATTAGGCTTGGGCGTTCAAAAATAGGTTCGGTTCGGTTTGGTTTTTCGGTTTTCACTTAATTTGGTTCTAAAGATAAATAAATCATTTGTTTTTTTTCATCATCGGTTTGGGTTCGGTTCGGTTTCCCTCAGGTTTGGATCAGTTTCGCGTGCCGTAACATTGAATAAAAAATAAAAATAAAATAGTTTAAATGAAATGAAATTAAATTTTGCAAAAAAAATGAATTTAAATGAATATTATTAAATATTTAGGATATTTCAAATAATATATTCAGTAACTTGTTATATAAAGTTGGATGTGCGCGATGTGGTTATATATAATAAGCTATAACCTTTAAAATTTAATTTTGTGTTTTTATCTCTTTTTTTTTCTATCTCTAATTGTGTGCTTCCATCTTCTTAGAATTTAAAAAATCATGTCTTTCAAAGTTCAAAAATCATCTTTTTATAATTTAACTTTAAATCAGTTGGATCGAAATCAAAATTATCGTCGTGCTATTGTATGTATAATTCAAAAATGAGAAATTAGAAATCCTAAAGAAATTAAATAATATTTTTATGGGAGTTGAGATTCTATTACTGGATGAAATATGCTTATTATAGAATTATTAAATTACATGATATCACTCTTTATTATACAGCGGAACTGAAGTATATTATGTTATTCAAAGATTTTTTATCGGATTTTTAATATTATTTTATTACATTTAAGAGTAATCATATTTTGTTTAATATTTTTTGTAAATTGTTCAAAAATCTTAAGATAAACTATGCGTATATGTGGGGTCTTATCTAATAGAATTATAATTCTAGATAGTTTGGTTATTTTAGAAATGAATATAACTAATTATTTTTAAATATAATTATATTTCGGGTATCTATTCGGTTTTTGGTTCGGTTCGGATTCAGTTCTGGTTTTTCGGGTGTAGAAATTTAAAAACCGTTCAGTTTTGTGTCGTTTTCGGTTCGGTACCATCAAAATCTGTTTGGTTCCAGTTTTTGTGCCCAGGCCTAAGATTTATTATTGAACTCTGACTGAATATATTTTTAGTAATCCATTATCGTTTTAAAATACACATTTGGGGTCATATTACACTAGAGAAGACACAATAAATGAATGGATAACGGTTTTGTTGGTACATATCCGGTCATTGCATTTCTATGTGTATCATATATAAAGAGTAAAGACATGTTAAACTTTTGAAGTACAGTTTCATTTGTATGCTAAAAACAGATTGTGTTTGGTTCTGATTGATCTATTATTGAACCATGATCATGTTTTCGTCCTCGACACGAGTTCAAATCAAGTACACTGATGTCTAACATATTCCAAAACTCACTATAGATGGTACTGAATTAAACCTAACAAAAGCGTTCAAATTGACCCAAATAAAAGGTCCCTACTCCCCTAGTAGAGAAAAATGTATATTAATCTCCTAAAAGAACATTTAGCCTGATAATGATAAATCAGACGAAATGGAGCTGACATTTTGATGAAACTCTAGGAAGCTTAGTTAGAGCGTTGGTGATTCTCGTGAAGTTGCTGTCTTGTTCGACGATCAAACTTGACCTCGACAGTTTCAAGACATTTCAGATTACCCAAGAAATGTCTCATCTGTTTCAGCTCTCCAAGACTTCCTCCATACTCCGAAATGATTAGCACCTTCACATGACATGTCGATAAACAACATACTTCCTCCATCTTCCTCTTCTTCTTCTTATTGTATGGGGCACAATATTGAAAAAAAAAAAGTGACTAAAAAATCATAGGAAAAAATGAACAAAAATTAAAATATGAGAGAAATAAATAGTAGTTATGAAATGTCAAGTAAAGAAGAAACAATTATGAGAAGTTGACGAAAGACAAATTTAAATTAAAATGGGAGAAAAAACTTAACATAATCGTGAAAGCATGTGGCATCATTGACAAAACTTACCAAATATGCTATATTTACACTATCAAATTTGTGTTAAAAACAGAAAATCATGAAATTAGCATGGGGCACTTGCCCCACCCTCTACACACGTAATCCGCCACTGATCATGTTAGGCGTTGTGTTTTACATCTTGTGCTTGAATTATATTACAAGTAACATAACCAAGTGTATCGATAACGTTCAATAGAAAAAACTTGTCCTGCAAGTAACATAACCAAGAAACCGCAGAGAATCCAGCTCTCTGTGAAGATTAATAGAGAGATAGAAGAAGAAGTTGATGAATGTAGAGCCTAGAAGAAAATGTCCATCCTCTGTAGGGATAAACCTCAAAAGAGTAAATTCACCTAGAATTCAGCTCTTAGGTACGCGTAGAAGCACGTCAAGATCAGAGTGATGAACCGCTCCGTTGGTCCACAGAAAGATTTAGTCTACTGACACATAAACTGAAATGTGGTTAAATAAGAAAGAAAGAGAGAGGAGATTTAGTCCAACGATTTGTTTTTTGTTTTCTGTGGAGAAGACGACGAGGACCACTATTACAAATCACATCTCTATAGCTCTGTTTGGCTTGTGAAGTTTCAGCAAAACAATACATGTGGTTTCTGTGAATATTTTCTCGATTAATGAGCAGCAAGTATTCAAAATATTTCATCTTCATATGCTTTAAGTCTTACAAAATTGAACGTAACTGCATTTTAGATTTTACAACATTCTCGCGTTTCGTAGATGTATATAAATCTCATAAAGAGTGCTTGAAATTAGACATAACGCACATGCATTCAAGTGTATAAATCATATATGTTATAGCAAATGAATGTATTAAAATTAGATTATAAAGATTTCCAAATCGAAAACGAAAGGAATGGTATAAATAATTACCTCCTACATCATCATCACATTAAAGGTATGACTTAATTTGTAACTAATAATGGATATGTTAACTAATACAGAAATTTTTCACAATCACTATATAAACAAGCCACCAGGAACACAACCAAACCAATTAACATTCACAATTCGGTCATACTTGTAGTATATTATCTACAGAGAAATTCTTTGCATCTTTTTTCCCAAAATATTAAAAAATGGAGAGCAAAAGGGTGGTGATGTTGGTGACAATGATGATAATGGGGAACCTCCTGAATCAGATAGAGGCTCAGGAAACCCCTTTTCTAATTTGTTTTCCAGTTTGTCTTGTAACGTGTAAAGATGAAGGATTTCCAAAAAATCTCATGTGTCCATTCACATGTACCAAAACATGTCTTCAACAACCTTCACTAACAGCTGTTTCTTCAAACAAAATCGATGATGCCAATTATTTCTGCAAACTCGGTTGTGCTACGCATCATTGTGTTTCCTCTTCTTCCCTCCAAAATCCGAGTAAGTCTTTACTTCTTGTATACATTTTTTCTTCAGAGTATAATTCCACGTCAAAATAGTATAATATATATGAAGAATTCCTAACCTAGTGTATTATTTGTTAATGTTTAGTGGTATGAATTATATCTAAAGATTTTTTTTTTTTTTGGCTGGCGTTTATGGTATTGACAGATGTGGAGAGAGTATCTGCATGTGTGGATTCATGCTCGAACAAGTGCACCAACAAATATTAGAAGCATTATTCTTTATAGTTTATATACTCTACAAACATTGATCTTAGATTAAAAAGATATGAACCATTAATTGTATCAATCGATTTTTTTTTGTTATTTATTTAAGATATCTTGTGAGTTAAACAAGAAAATCAATTGATAAAACTAAAATTGGGAAAAGTGTTACTTTTCTTAGTATAATTACTTATTTTGTCATTGTTGAGCTTTGATTTCAAGGAGACAAAAGTGTCCTTTCTCAACGATAAAATGATTCAAATATCTAAAAGAGAGAATCACACAAAATGAATCTGATATTTTGATGAAACTCTATGAAGCTTAGTAAGAGCATTGTAGTTGTTGTAAACATTACACTATTATCTCGGAGATCCAACTTCAAAACCAAGAAATTACTCATCTGTTTCAGCTCTCTAAAAGTTCCTCCGTACGCTAAAATTAGACAAAAGCTCACATTCAAGGAAATAAGAGAAATTATTACCACTTTGTCATAGAACAAAATCCAACTTGTTATTTTGTGATCTGTTTTGTCTCTAGTCCTGGAGAAAGAAATGAATTTCTGGGATTTGATATGAAAGGTCCCAACTTTTAATTCAATCGTCAAACCATCTTAAGCGAAAAAGGTGTTTTGTTAACTTTATGTCTTTATATACGATACACAGAGAAACGCAATGATCGGATATGTACCGAAAAAAACCGTTATCCATTAACCAATTGTGTCTTCTCTAGTGTAATACGACCCCAAATGTGTATTTTAAAACGAGAATGGATCACTAAAAAATATTCAAAGAGAGTTCAATAATAAATCTTTCTCTAGTGTAAAGAGAGAAAATCAGACGAAATGGAGCTGACATTTTGATGAAACCCTAGGAAGCTTAGTCAGAGCGTTGGTGATTCTCGTGTAGTTGCTGCCTTGTCGACGATCCACTTCAACACCAGCCTTGACCTCGACAGTTTCAAGACATTTCAGATTTCCCAAGAAATGCCTCATTTGTTTCAGCTCTCTAAGACTTCCTCCATACGCTAAAATGTTTAGCACCTTCACTTGACATGTCGATAAACAACATACTTCCATCGTCTTCTTCTTCTTCTTAGTGACGCAAACGCAGACGTCCCCGCATTTATCTGTAACTTTGTGCACAAGACCCTGAAAGCATAACGAGTTAACGACGACGCAAGCAATATTAATGTACAAATATACCAAAGAAACAAAGCAAAATGTGTGATGTTGATATTAGTATTACCTTGATGACTAAAGTTTCTAGGCTTGGAGAGTTGTTGAGGAGAAGTGGCAACACTTGCCAGCCTTTTTCTTTGTCGCTCTCGATAGATAAAGTAAGGAGGTTATGGAAGACCGGCATCGATTTACAGTCATAGTGAAACACCTGATTAGATTTGATCATCATTACTCTTCAAAACTAAAATAATCAAATAAAAAGAGAAGCAAGTAGCGAAACTTAACCTCAAGAGAATCAGAAGACAAGTGAAGAGTCTTAACGTTGCTTATCCCAGCGACCAGATCAGTAACATCACACGAGACCTCCTCTTCATCATCCTCTGATTCATCACTATCACTATCATCATCATCATCCTCACCACTATCAGCATCATCATCCTCATCCTCATCATCATCATCCTCGTCCTCATCATCTTCTTCATCATCATCATCACAAGTATCACCAATACAATTCTCATCCGCATCTAAAACTCGCTCCCCGGAAAACCGAAGATCCAGCTTAGCTTCCACAAGCGAACCAAATCAGCATGGTACTGATCCGTGGCGTAACCACAATAGTCAAAGTACAAAAGACTCGGCGTCTTAAACCACACAGTATTAGGAACATCATGGTCACCAGGAAAGCTGTACGTTATGGCCAGTCGCTTCACCGTAAGACTCGACACAATGGTGGAAGTGTTAAACAACACCCTTTGATTCATAGCCGAGTAAAGATCAGCAACATAGCGTACGAATAGTTCCTCAAGAACAGGGGAGCCAGAGATGAGATACTCATAAACCGCGCTACCTGCAAGCCCAACTAAAACGAGAGATAGCGTTTTGAGCTTCGGGAAAAACACAACACCGTGAGTGATACCATCGGTGCGAAACGTATCTGATAACGTCATTGTGAGCTTGACGAGCGTGTTGCTTGTGAAGAAGTCGGTTTCTATGAAATGCATACACTTGCTCTGCAAATGAAGCTCCGAGAAGCCACGCTTCAGGACAGTGCGGATCCAAGTGTCGACACGGGTTTTGTCTTGCTTGTGCTCGCAGTTGAGAGAGAATCTTTTGATGATTGAGGAGGTTGTTAAGAGAGCGAGTGTTTTGTCGACGAAATCGGAGAAGCCGCGAGGGTCGCCGATTGCGTCGCTGAATTCGAGGTTTTCGACGAGGGAGAGAAGATTCCTCCACCTTTTGGACAGAACTGATGTGGAAGTAGCAAGCTTTGTCGGAACCAGTGACAGGATTTTGCCGAGAACTTCATCTGGCAGAGTGCTGATTAAATCTCTAGAAGTAGAATCACCCTTTGAGACCCTTTGGGCAGACATGGATTAGGGTTTTTTCAATTTTAATCTATCAAACGAGAAATTTGATTAGGGTCAGTCACAAGTTCCGATTTTTTTCCTAACAATCTTAAAAGGCAAAATCTACAGACAAGTAAATCAAATGAAATTCTCAGAATCAGGCCATAATTATTCAAGATGATTGAGTTGATTCGAAGGTAAAGAGTAGACTTACGAAACCAGAAGAGGGAACAGGACTATGGGGTGTAAGTGTGTAACAAGAAAGATCGAAGAGGAAGAGGAAGCGGAAGCGGAAGAGTAAGAGGAAGAAGAAGAAGCTTGCTTTGGTGAGAGAGCCAGAACGCAGCGTTTTAAGAAACTCCTTAAAGGGACATCTATTGCGCTTGGGCCTTTGACTCTTTTGAATTGGACTTTCATTTTGTTTGAAAGAAGCTGTTCGTTGAGAAAATCTTGAAAGCTAAAAACATTACAATGCAAGAAGGCAGAAGAAGTAAGTAGGCATTGAAATCTCAATATCTCATTGCTAGTTTTTCTCCTGCGCTTTAATTTGGAAATGATAAATAAAGAAACAGAAAATCTGGAAAAAAAAAAAGTCTCTATATGAATGTTATGTTCAAAAAGCTACACCTAGAGTTTATGGAAGCAACACCACAAGTAGTCCAAAAACTTGTCTTGGCTTATCTCACTGCTGAAGCAAGAGATAACTTCTAACTTTTTAAAACACACAAAAGAAGAAAAAAGAAAACAGACAATTCTTGCAAATATTCAGGAGCCTACAAAAACCCCACAACAAAAAATGTATGAAAATTTCTGACATAAACTTAAACATAGGTCTCGATCAAAGATTTCTTCATCTGGTCGACAATAGAGATGGATCGGGCATCCCCTAGCTTGAATATGCTGTCTACAACAGAGAGCTCTGTGGCGGTTGTGTCTGAGCCGCAGAAAGCAGTCCAGTCATTAACGATCATACCCTCCCCTATGACTCCACTACCGCGATTAATGGTTCCTACAACCAGTGGCACTTGAAGAAGTGTAGAGAGCTCATCCAAATCTTCCACATAGGTCTTAGGATGGACCTACATTTGAGAATACAAAATTTTAGTTATTGCCGACTTCGTTGGTTTATGGAGAGAGTATGGTTATGTTTGGTACTTCTTACCATTCCACCCCTGTTGGATAAGGCACAAAAGCTGCCTACAAGAATGTTGCCAGCAATTGTCTGACGGAAAACTTCAACACCAAGAACATCGATCCGCTATTATTTCCTCAGTTTCCTATCAAATCCATAAAAACCAACATATACGCTCCATTAAGCATATACTCCCTCTGTCCCATATTATAAGCAATTTGGAAAAATGTATCTGCAAAAAAGTGGATGTATCAGGACTTAATTGCATCCAGATACATCCACTTTTTTGCAGATACATTTTTCCAAACTGCTTATAATATGGGACAGAGGGAGTATGTAACAACTCCATTGACATGCCAAGTTATTAAAAAAAAAAAGTTGTGCAGGACATATCTTTACCGTGTGGGCAAGAGCAACATGGTCATTGCATGCAATGCAATTTCCAAGAGCAGAGAGACGTTCCTCGATTCTCCGGACCACAACTTTATCAGGTAGACTGTTCCTCAAGTGTTCAAGCTCTGTCAAGGTCCAAAAGAACAAACGACTCCTCATTTACAATGCAACCCTCAACAAAATATATGGAGAAGAATAATCATATTATGTATGAGATTCACTCATAATCTGAAAAAAGGTTGAATTACCTTGGTCAGTGGTAGTGTGAGGCACAAGAAGCCCATTTTTGTTACCTATACGGAGAAACAAAAAAGCCACGTCCATTAGGGTTTGTGGGAAAATATCAACAAGATTTGAAGAAAGCAGTTTTATAAGGAGTTGAGAAAACTAACCAGCACAAAGACGACCAATAATTCTTGTTCCGTTGATAGATGTCTTAACAATAGGGATAACATCTTCTAACTCCGACTCAAAAGCTCTGTAAGAGCAACAAACATAATTAACAAAAGAAGAAAGCAAAACTGAAAACTTACTGGAGAGTGACGACTAAGCAAACAAAACATATACCTTTAAAAGTTCTCAGAGCCACCTACAGCGACTAAGCAATAGGCATTAGTGAGTTTGGAGAAGACACCAATTTCACATTTGTTCTCAAACTGAAGACCTGCATCAAATTACCGTCAAAACCCTTGGAAAGATATTCGTAAGAGAGTAAACACAACAGCATTAGGTCTGCAGAAAACTTACTGAGTCGTTATAAAGTGGAAGCTAGGAACAAAATCAATCATCGAAAGAAGACGAATAGAAAGGAGATGTTGTTGCGAGTTGCGACTACACAAATCCAACGAAAGTTAGGGTTTATAAAAACGATTAAATCCTTTGACTGTTCTAGGTTAAAAGATTCATACAACAAAGCGGCAACAATTAGGTCTACAAATGAGTTTACTTGAAAGAGATTATACGTTCTGGTCTAAGAGGGATGACGAGGAAGCTTACTTGAATCAAGGATGGAAGCGAGGACGAGGAAAAAGAAGAAAAAACAAATGAGTTAACGCCGGCCCGGACAATCCAAATATGCCACCGCTTGTGCCCTAATTTAAAAGGAGGCTCCAATTATTTTGTTTTAAGACTTGGAGGAAATGTAAAGTTGAAAGTCAGTCCACTTTTGATAAGTTGGACTAAAAATATAGCTGTTTAAATATTCAGGTGAATCGTATAGTTTGGTGGGCTAGGTTGTTCTTCCATATGCCTTTATCATATTACTATGTCAATTGATATACTCTAGGAGTCTAGGTTGTGAGATATTGGTGGTGCATGAGTGGAAATTTATAATAGTAGATATTCACTTTGAATAATTGAAAGATTAATGTGTATTTTTGTTATTACTTAAGATTGAGAGGATTATACTGGAAAACCGCTAAATTTCAATTTTTGCAAGATATATAAGTCAAACCTTGTTGACTTGTGCTCTACGTAAGTAACTATACTCTTCATGAACAATTGGTAGACAAGTGATTGATGGTTCGACCAATGGACACATGAAGAAATCGAAATGGTGAAGGAGATGAGAGCGATACAATTAATTAGTATCAAACTCCAAAGTTAGTATAATGATATTACTGATTTAACTATAGCTATGTTATATAGTCATTAACCGGTTAAATTATATGCGTAAAGAGTTTTGATCTCACCACATCTACGTCTATGTATATGGAATTACAGCTTCTAATTGATTTTTTTTCTTAGTTTATGCAATAACTAGAATTCTATCCAATGTATTCATACATCTAACATACTTCTCGGTTACCTTTTTCAACAATAAATACATATGAAAATAAATTTAAGCAATTATCTGGTTTTGCCTTTAAGGCTTTAATCTATTAAATAAAAATTTGCAAATCGTAACTCTTCCATTTTTTTTTTAAGTAACTTCTCTCGGTTCTCATCAGTTTTACAAATAACAACACTTCCAGCTTTTTCATATTCATGTAGATAAAACAAAACATTTAGGAAAACTTTATGCCAGTTTGATTTATTCAAGTACGATGTCTTTATATTCGACATAATTTAGTATATATCTTGAATTCATTTTAATTTATTATGTGTGTGTACATATGTTTAGAGACAATCCAATTATGTAACTAGCTTATTCCAGAGGATTTATTCGAGCATATTAGTTAGGGAACAATACTGTTACGATTAAGATGAATGTGATCGTCTACAATTTTGTATCTACATATGTATTAAATGAGTTAAACAGAATTATAAAATTGGTTTAATATACGTTAATGGACATATACTAAGTCAGACGTAAGTCTTAACATTGGAATATCATCAGTTTCTTTGTCTTTTTTTGTTATACATATATCTTCAAAAACAGTGAAACTCCATGGAAAAAGAAAAAGAAAGAAGCTAATTCACACAAACCCTTTACCTACGATACCATATTTTCTATAACCACTAACCATCAATATTCGAATACACAGTCTAGCTAATTAAGAGACATCAAAAAAATCCTATATTTGGAAGTTACAGGCTACAGATCCGTAAAGATTTTTCCAGTTCAACAAGTTACCATCGTTTTTTCTTAAGTTTCTCAAACAATAAAAGCCCATTAATGGAAATTTATTCAACGTTTTGTTTATTCGTTATTGAATATTCATTTCCTCTAGAAGCAATTTCAAAAATTCAATAGAAACAATATTTACTCCTTTGTCTGAATAATGACAAAAATAAAAAATCAAAATTCGATCAAAATAGTAAGTAGACACTGAATAAACCCTTCACGGCACGTGTCAACAGATTGAGTGAGAACAGGACAAACAAACCTCAGACGCAAACGGAAGCTGGAGAGGGTTTTCTAACGGCACCAAAAATTCCTTCTATACCCTTAATCAACAAACCACAACAGTTTCAACACGTAAGGGTAATATCGTCATTTAAACAGCTTCAAAAATGCCCGGGGATCATGGACGCTTTATATGCTGTTGCATAGACGCCCAAAACTGAATCATAACAGAGTCCTCACAGATATTTTCCACCGAAACGCCTTTTTTTTTTCTGATTTCTCGGAGGAGAGAAAAAAAAAACAAAATCTCTTCAGATCGGAAAAAGCCCGATCGATCTCGGAGGGTAATCAATGGCGGCCGCTTCGAATGGGAGTGAGTATTTCGAATTGGATATGATGGAGACCGGTAGGGAATCGTTCGCGCGGCCGTCGAACGCCGAGACAGTCGAGCAGGACGAGGAGGATCTCCGGTGGGCGGCGATCGGGCGGTTACCGTCGCAGAGACAAGGGAGTGATTTAGCGATTCTGCGTCGGTCGCAAACGCAGACGCAGACTTCCGGTTACGCCGACGGGAACGTTGTTCAGACGATCGACGTGAGGAAATTGGATCGTTCGGATCGCGAGATGGTTGTTCGTCAAGCTCTTGCCACTAGCGATCAGGATAACTATAAGCTCCTCTCCGCCATTAAGGAACGGCTCGATAGGTCTGTGTGATCTCTTCGAATCCTCTGTTTCTATTTTTGGGTTTATTAATATTTTTTTAAAAAATATTCGACTGATTTTTTTTATTTTTTTTGGTGTTTGATTTGTAGAGTTGGAATGGAAGTTCCGAAAATCGAAGTCCGGTTCGAGAATTTGAATATTGAAGCTGATGTTCAAGCTGGTACAAGAGCCTTACCGACTTTGGTTAACGTATCTCGTGATTTCATTGAGGTTTGTTGACATTTTTCTTCTTCTTTTTCTTGAACATTCCACACAAATTTGTTTCTAATTATACATATCTCTCTGTGTTGTAGCGTCTCTTAAGCAGCTTGAGGATAATGAAGACAAGAAAGCACAAGCTAACGATTTTGAAAGATATTAGTGGGATTATCAAACCAGGAAGGTAAATTAAAAATAAAAATGGAAACAAAACCATATTTAATGTATAGTCGCAAAGCACTAACAGTTTTGCTATATTTTGCTATTTTTTCGAAAGAATGACATTGCTATTAGGACCACCAGGTTCCGGAAAATCGACGTTACTTCTTGCTCTTGCAGGAAAGCTTGATAAAAGTTTAAAGGTTAGTTAATTAACCCGTGAAGTTATTAACTATATGCTCACATATATATATCACATGCATCTTATGCTTGATTTATACTTTCTTTTTTCTTTCTAAGTTTGATATATGCTCACATGCGTCTTGAATGTTTGTCACTTATCTTCTTAAAATTCCTCTCTTCTTGTTGGTCTGTTGGTTTGATAGAAAACGGGGAACATCACTTACAATGGAGAGAATCTTGATGAGTTCCATGTCAAAAGGACTTCAGCATATATTAGTCAAACAGATAATCACATTGCAGAACTCACTGTTCGTGAGACTCTTGATTTTGCTGCGAGGTGTCAAGGCGCAAGTGAAGGATTCGCAGGTGTTCTTTTTTTCATCTGATGTTACTATATATTTAACTTGTTCAAGTCAAATGTTCTCACAAACTATATTGTGATGTCATATAAATTTTAGGTTACATGAAAGATTTGACTCGTTTAGAGAAAGAGAGAGGTGTACGTCCGTCTTCTGAGATTGATGCTTTTATGAAGGTCAGCATCATATATATACATATACTTGATATATAATTAATCTCATTTTGTATGATATATTAGTTACACTTTTTCTTTTGTTATATAGGCTGCTTCTGTCAGTGGTGAAAAGCATAGTGTTTCCACAGACTATGTGCTTAGAGTGCTTGGTCTTGATGTATGTTCTGATACAATGGTTGGTAACGATATGATGAGAGGTGTCTCTGGAGGTCAAAGAAAAAGAGTAACTACAGGTCTCTTTTCACTAACCTATCTCTCACTTTATCCACCAGCTCTAGGTTATGCTTAAACTTAATAAATCTTGACACACAATTCGCAGGAGAGATGACTGTGGGGCCCAGAAAAACGCTGTTCATGGACGAAATATCAACTGGTCTTGATAGCTCAACAACTTTCCAGATCGTCAAATGCGTCAGAAACTTTGTCCATCTAATGGATGGAACTGTTCTCATGGCACTTCTTCAGCCTGCACCAGAAACATTCGATCTCTTTGATGATTTGATTCTTCTATCAGAAGGTTACATGGTGTATCAAGGTCCTCGGCAAGACGTTGTGAGCTTCTTTGAGTCTATAGGGTTCCGTCTCCCACCACGTAAAGGTGTTGCAGATTTTCTCCAAGAGGTATATTATAATATACATCCCAACTCTTTTCTTTAGTCGTTTCTTCTTTCTTGTTTTTTTATGTTTTATAATGTTTTGGTATACAGGTGACTTCTAAAAAGGATCAAGCGCAGTATTGGGCAGATTCTTCGAAGCCGTATCAGTTTATTCCTGTCTCGGACATAGCGGCTGCTTTCCGTAACTCGAATTATGGACATGCTGCTGATGCCAAGCTTGCAACACCATTCGACAAGTCATCTGCTGATCCTTCAGCTCTATGCAGAACCAAGTTCGCCATATCAGGATGGGAAAACCTTAAAGTTTGCTTTGAGAGAGAGATACTATTGATCAACCGGCACAGGTTTCTTTACACCTTTAGAACATGCCAGGTATAAAAAAGTCTTAACTATTTTCATTTCCAATTTTTGTGTTTCTTTATATGGTACTGACCTGAACCATTTTGTTAGGTTGCATTTGTGGGGTTTGTGACAGCGACAGTGTTCTTGAGAACTAGATTACACCCAACAAGCGAATCATATGGCAGCGAGTATTTATCTTGTCTTTTCTTCGGCTTAGTGCACATGATGTTCAATGGTTTCTCTGAGCTGCCTCTCATGATATCTCGTCTTCCGGTTTTCTACAAGCAAAGAGATAACTCGTTTCATCCCGCTTGGTCATGGTCTATCGCTAGCTGGATCTTGCGTGTGCCTTACTCTATTCTTGAAGCTGTTGTTTGGACTTGTGTTGTATACTACAGTGTGGGACTTGCTCCTTCACCAGGCAGGTTGGTGATTTTTTGGGAATGTTAAACATTTCTCTAGACTTCTTTAAGGCTTTAAACTAATCTCTGTTTGTTCTTTTTAGATTTTTCCGGTACATGTTACTTCTCTTCTCGGTGCATCAAATGGCTCTCGGTTTATTCCGTATGATGGCTTCTCTAGCAAGGGATATGGTCATTGCCAATACGTTCGGATCTGCAGCAATCTTAGTAGTGTTCTTGCTCGGTGGATTCGTTATTCCAAAAGGTTTTGATTATCATTTATCACTACTTTTTTTTACTTCTTGCATTAAAGAAACAGATTTGAGTAGCTATAATAAAACTCTTTTTTATCATTTTTGAACAGATGATATTAAACCTTGGTGGACTTGGGGTTTTTGGATTTCACCGTTATCTTATGGGCAACGTGCCATTGCTGTCAATGAATTCACAGCCACGAGGTGGATGCTGGTATGTTGAAAAATCTCTTTATTTGTTTTGAGTTATGTTGTAGAATATACGATGTTTAACTATAGACTTTTTAAACATCAAACAGCCATCTGCTATATCGGATACATCAATTGGATTCAACTTTCTAAAGCTGCGTAGCTTTCCAACAAATGACAATTGGTATTGGATCGGAGTTGCGGTTCTCATTGGTTATGCAGTTCTCTTCAACAACGTAGTCACTGTTGCCTTGGCTTATCTTAACCGTACGTGAGAGCCTCTCTATTGCTAATGGTTCCTTTCTTATTGATCTCTATAGCAATATTGTGAAAGTTTTTTTCTTTTTTGCAGCTTTAAGAAAAGCTAGAGCAATTGTTTTAGACGATCCAAATGAAGAAAACCAAACTGCTTCAGTATCAGATACAAAACAAGTGAAAAGTGAGAAAAAGGGAATGATTCTTCCATTCAAACCATTGACAATGACTTTCCACAATGTCAACTACTATGTTGATATGCCAAAGGTCAATCTCCACTTCTCTGTTTGTATCAGCCCTTATCTATCTATGGCCACACATGATTAGAGATTTTAATATTTTGATATTTTAGGAAATGCGTTCTCAAGGTGTACCAGAGACAAGACTACAGCTCTTATCAGACGTGAGTGGAGTCTTCTCTCCTGGTGTTTTAACAGCTTTAGTTGGATCGAGCGGTGCGGGCAAAACCACATTGATGGATGTTCTTGCGGGTCGGAAGACAGGTGGATATACAGAGGGAGATATTAGAATCTCTGGTTACCCAAAAGAACAACAAACGTTCGCTAGAATCTCTGGATATGTTGAGCAGAACGATATACATTCTCCTCAAGTCACTGTTGAAGAGTCCCTATGGTTCTCTGCTAGCCTTCGTCTTCCTAAAGATATCAGCAAAGAACAGAAAAAAGTAAGTATGAAATTTGTTTGACATCATTTGGTTTTTTGATTTGCATAAGTTTCACTAAAAGGAGATTTTTGAGTATTTGTTAGGAATTTGTGGAAGAAGTAATGAGACTTGTGGAGCTTGATAGTCTGAGATATGCGTTAGTTGGTTTACCCGGTACGACCGGACTTTCCACAGAGCAGAGGAAACGTCTAACGATTGCGGTTGAGTTGGTTGCAAATCCATCAATAATATTCATGGACGAACCAACATCTGGACTTGATGCAAGAGCAGCTGCAATTGTGATGAGAACTGTTAGGAACACTGTTGACACGGGACGAACAGTGGTTTGCACCATTCATCAACCCAGCATCGACATTTTCGAGGCCTTTGACGAGGTTAGTTTGCCCTAAGTGTTTGCTTGGATTACAAGAATCTTCTTCAAGCATATGATCTTAACGTGTGTGTGCTTTTTGCTTAACCTTGAAACAGTTGCTTCTAATGAAACGAGGAGGACAGGTTATATATGGTGGTAAATTGGGTGAACACTCAAAGGTTATGGTAGACTACTTTCAGGTACTTTGTCTTTGCCTTCTCTTCATTGGCACTTAGATGCTTGTTCACCAAGTAAACTGTGACAAAACCCTAATTAAACCCTTTTACAGGGGATTAATGGAGTCCCTGCAATCTCGATCGGTTACAATCCAGCAACTTGGATGCTTGAAGTAACTACGCCTGCTTTGGAGGAGAAATTTAATATGGACTTTGCAGATTTATACAAGAAATCTGAACAGTTTAGGTAACTATCACAACTCACTTTAACTAACATTTTTCATTCTCTTTTAAAGCACTATCAAATTGCTAAAACCTAACGATACCGTGTAATGTAAACAGAGAAGTGGAAGCAAACATCAAGCAACTCAGTGTTCCACCAGAAGGCTCAGAAGCAATAAAGTTCTCTTCAATATACTCACAAAACCAACTGTCTCAATTCTTACTCTGCCTCTGGAAACAGAACCTTGTCTACTGGAGAAGTCCAGAGTACAACCTCGTGAGATTGCTCTTCACAACGGTCGCTGCGATCATCCTCGGCACAGTTTTCTGGGACATTGGTTCCAAGAGGACTTCCATGCAAGATTTGGTCACCGTAATGGGAGCTCTCTACTCGGCTTGCTTGTTTCTTGGAGTTAGTAACGCTTCATCTGTACAACCAATCGTTTCGATCGAAAGAACAGTTTTCTACAGAGAGAAAGCCGCGGGAATGTATGCTCCAATTCCATATGCAGCAGCTCAGGGCCTTGTGGAGATACCTTACATTCTCACCCAAACCATTCTCTATGGTGTCATCACTTACTTCACCATTGGTTTTGAAAGAACATTCAGTAAGTTTATACTCTACTTGGTGTTCATGTTCCTCACTTTCACCTACTTCACCTTCTACGGCATGATGGCGGTTGGTCTCACCCCAAATCAGCACTTAGCCGCTGTTATGTCCTCTGCGTTTTACTCTCTCTGGAATCTTCTCTCTGGTTTCCTCGTTCAAAAACCTGTAAGAATCTTGATTCTTGACTAATCAGGCTTAACTATATATATGTTACACTTTTTGTCACAATCTTTTAAGCTCACTTTTTGTGTGTTTTTGGTTTTTTCAGTTGATTCCAGTGTGGTGGATATGGTTCTATTACATTTGTCCAGTGGCGTGGACACTACAAGGAGTAATCCTCTCACAGCTTGGTGACGTGGAGACCATGATCAACGAGCCATTGTTCCATGGCACGGTCAAAGAATTCATTGAACAGTACTTCGGCTACAAGCCAGACATGATCGGTGTATCTGCTGCTGTTCTTGTTGGATTTTGTGCTCTCTTCTTCTCTGGGTTTGCACTTTCAGTCAAATTCCTCAATTTCCAGAGAAGATAGATAAAAGAAAAGAAAGAAAAAAGATGGCTCTTACTTATGTGTTATCACTCACTTGACAAACTTTGATTTTTTGGCACTTTCTTACAAGTAGCTAGGTTTCTTCTTTTCTGTTTTACCACGTAGATTTAGAGTTAGTTTTGTTGACATTGACGAAAAAAAAACACAAAAATAAGAAATATGTTTTGCTCTGTTAAGGATTTTCTTTGGTTTTTGTAATTTGTACACTGAGTCAAGTTTTTATAATCTGAAGGTTGCACATATAATTCATGAATATACAAGTATAGTTCAACTGCTGTCTTTCAATTTGTTGGATTTTTGTCCTTACCAGCTTTTAAATCCACGTAAGCAATGGAAAAAAAGCTCAGATATTTTGGTACGAGGTTTCAACTTTTCTTTTGAGACGATTCTAATTCTTCATCTTTCTTGAGCGGCGACCAACACTTTAGTACATCACCACCCAATCAGATCCTTCCAACAAGTTTCTCTTTTCAATACCCATTGGTCCTTCACGAATATTATGTTACGGTCGTCTTCTTGACCCGAATAACCGCTTCTCGACTCGGTTCTTCAACGACGGAATTTTTAGGTGAGACTTAAATTTCCGAAACAATGGAAGCATCGAGACGTCGATCGCTCGTCGGGATTAACCGGAAGAGCAAGCGAGCTTTAGATATGAACGAACACGAAGACGACGACGATGTTGCGGCGGCGGATGAGGAGTCTGACGACGTGAAGGTTTGGGATACGCTTAGCAATGGCTTCAAGCGCGCGCAGCTCCTTCTCGATCGGAACCGCGACTTGATCCAACGCGTCAACGACAACCACCGTTCTCGAATCCCTGATAACGTCGCCAGAAACGTTTCCCTGATCAACGAAATCAACGGTAACATCTCTCGAGTCATGGAGATTTACTCCGACTTATCTCTCAATTTCACCAAAAGTTTCAACGAGCGGCCGAGCACGGCCAAGAATGGCGACACTACTACAACTACCACCACCGGTTCTTGATCGCCAAATCGCTAGCAACGTTGGATCACCGTTAAAGTCTTTCAAGTGTCATCATATTATCAATAAAAACAACATTTTGGAACTCATAAGTGACTCTGTTTTCAGCTGAAGCTAAGAAGAACATGTGATAAGCATGCAAGGCGTGTTTAATAGTCTGTAAACTAAACTCGAAAGACGGTAACTTTCAAAGTAAGGTTTAAGGGTTTTTAGAGAGGAAGCTCTCCACTGTCTTTGATAACAACTTTGCTCTTAGGAGTACCATTTTGCTTTCCTTCAGCTTCAACCTTGAAAACAACATCCATTCCTTGAACCACTTTCCCAAACACCACATGCCTTCCATCTAACCAGCTTGTTGTCACCGTCGTGATGAAAAACTGCGAACCGTTTGTGTCTTCTCCAGAGTTTGCCATTGAAAGATAACCTGAGGAGGAGTAAAAAAAAACAATCAGACCTCAAAAACCACACCAATTCATGACACTTTCTATAAATACTTGGGATATAAATCACCTGGTCCAGTGTGCTTGAGCTCGAAGTTCTCGTCTTTGAACTTCTGACCATAGATTGATTCTCCTCCCATACCGTTGCCGTGCGTGAAGTCACCTCCCTGAATCATGAAGCTAGGTATGATTCTATGGAATTTGCTTCCCTTGTAGTGTAGTGGCTTCCCACTCTTCCCTACACCTTTCTCACCTGTATCCCCATCAAAAAATTTAAGCAGACTACATTGTCACAAGACTCAGGTCCCAAAATCATCATCACAGTTGTGAAAAGTTTATCTCAAATCATGTGATCTTCATCATAACTCTACACTAGACATCCAAACAAGTGTTCAAGAAGAAGCTGAATATAAAATCAGTAGCTTACCAGTGCAAAGAGCTCTGAAGTTTTCTGCAAGAAGGAAACACTCTCACAGATTAGTCTCTTGGATCTTAAAACTCTTATGCCAATAAAAAAATATAGTCTTGAGCCAAAACCATTAGTATATGTTACCTGCAGTTTTTGGAACTGTCTTGCCAAATAGGCCTATAACAACTCTACCTGCAACATAACAGTAATCATAGTATCAAACATCAGAAGAAACATATGTATAACAAATGAAAGGTCATTAAGATCGTCAAGACCCATACCAGCCTCTTTCCCATCAATCTCTACATCGAAGTAAACCTTGTGAGTGATTTCCTGAAGATCTTTCTTTGCCTAAGTATAAAAAAACCCCAAATCCATTAATCACAACAGAGATTTTATCAGAAACAGTAATCGCATCGTTCATAAGTACCAAAGCCATAGACGCTTTAGAGGATTAAACAATCTGTTGACTTTCATTTGCAATAAGGATTCATAAATGAAGGAAACCAACTTCAACTCTAGCTTACAAGATGAGTGATTACAATTTTTCGAATTCACAGTTGTAGATCTGGATCATTGAGGTTTTAAGATTCAAATGTCGAATGAATGTAATCAAACAGTGAACGGATCCAGGATCGAGAGGAGAGAAGAAGAAGAAAAAAAAAAGGTTTACCTGGATCAGAGCTATGGCTCCGAAGAGGAGGAGCGTCCCAAGTAGAATAGAGGTTGCTCTCGCCATCTCTGTGATCGTCTTCTTCTTCTCAATCGAAATACAGAAAAAGTGTGAAAAAAGTGTTGTAGAAGAAAGGAAGAATGTTTGATCCAATTGAAAGAAGCTAACATACGCAGGAGTTATTATTGGGCTTTTAGTGGGTCTATTATGGGCTTTTAATAAAATGTGAGCCTTTAATCTAAGAATAAGCTGCATCGCCATGTTTCTTCTTGTCAATTTGCAATCTAGTGTGTTTTGGTGAGAACTGAGAAAAATATACTTTTAGTTAACAATCTATTTCCGTAATTTCTCAAATGTATCATCATGAACATAAAGTAATCTTCTTCCACTATTTGTGTTTATGTTTTTTTTCGGAAACACATAAAGTGACTAGTAGTGAAAGGCTTCAGGCCATGGCCATGCACTAAGCTACTTTCTTTTATTAGTATAGCTACAAGATGGTGAGGGAAGAAGACTCTTGATTTTCTACTGAACCATTTATAGTTTTTTACCATTAAGTAAATATTTTCATGCTTCTAATGAAGAGTATGAAAGCCGCAAGGTTTAACATCGTTTTACAAAAAAAAAAAAAAAAAAAAAAAATATTGGTTTATTAAATGTGGTTTTGACTAGTGACGAAAGACATACAGAGAAAAGCAGCAGGTCACCACAATTGACCAATTAACAGTTTAACACAAGATTGTCGTGGTGGTAGTGTCACTAAGACGACAACGACACCAGCCAAAAGTTTGACACCTCTCTCTAGTCTCTACTAAACATAATCATCGTTGCGTCATTTATGTCCAATTTTTATTTTTACTAGGAGAGAACCCGCGCAATGCGCGGGTTTATTAAACCAAATATTTTTAATTTAATTATTCAGAACATTAGATTCGAATATATCATTTGTTTTTTACTCGAATATATTAGATTCTGTAAGTTTTGCATTTTGTTTTTTTTCATATAGTTTTAAAATTTAGTTGTTATTTACGTGAAATCTTATATAGACTCATAGTGAATAGTTTCATATGTTTTTTGTTCTTTTATACAATAATTTATCGACTGGAGTTGAGTTCTTCTAATTTTCCTTATACTAACAATCATTATAGATTGATTATTATCCTACAGACTCATAGATAATAATAATTGCAATCCTTTTTAAAAGGAAATGAAATGAGCTAATTAGCCAGTAAGCCCATTTAAAGCTACCATGGAAACGAAGAGGTCCGATAAATAATCAAGCCTATCAAAACGAACAACATTACACATAATTTTGATTTAGATTTTTTTTTTTTTTTACGAAAACGACGTCGTTTTGGTGTAAGACGAAAAAAAAAAATAAAGCGCAAAACGACGTCGTTTTGGTGTTAGGCGAAAAAAAAAAAAAAAAAGAGTGCCACGTGTCAACTGAGTGTCCAAACCTTATTAGTTATGTAGATTCACTAATTACTTGACGCATGTCACCAAGAATCTTTGCAAAAAATCTTACATAATTACATTTTTGATCCACATACTTTTGAAACATTTGCTTTTCATCCCGTAATCGCTGGAACTTTCCCAATCCCACTCAAGTACTCATAAAAAAAAGTCGTTAGATTTTAATATAAAGTAGGCTAATTATAAAAGATAAAACATCTGCGTTATCTTTTGACAATTGACAAAAAGTGTTTGTAATCCTTATAAAGACAAATGGTTTTTCACTCTATTTAGCTGTAAAAGTTCAATGTTCACATGATATTCTTCATTTCAGAGAGTCAGAGGGATATATACACTCAAAGATTCACCATATCAAATATCTCCACTAGATGGAAGAATAGTTTTGAGCTCCTTTTTTGTCGGCTAGAGCTATAAAGTTTATTTGAAATGAATTATTTGCGTAGATAGTGATAGATTAACATTATGAATGATATATCATATATAATAATTAAATTTTAAATATCAATACTCCGAAGAATAAAATAAATAAAAACTATATGAACAATTTTATATCGTCTACCTTAAAACATGGTGTTGAAATTGTATTCAAATGGTAAATATTAAAATCTTCTTTGATGTTTAACTTTTTTTTTGTTTTATTTGGTAAAATGTTAAATGTTAACCTCTTTTTTTACTAGTAAAGAATGAAGATAGATTAACCACTAATCAATGCTATATAGAGATGCAAACATCAATACATATATGCTGCAGGAAAATTGGGTTTGAAGAACTTAAACTTGTTTGAGCTGAAATATTTTAGGGTTTTACAGATTAGCTGACTGGTACAGATTTATAAATTGCATACTAATGTTTATAAAGATAACAACGTTCTTTAAAAGAATCAGAGGTGTATACTGCTAAAACTTTTAGTGGCCGATTGTTAGATAACCGTTAATATCTCAGAACTCAGAAGCAGTATCATTAGTAGATACTACTCTCAAGAGAAAGACCACATTTGCGTACCCAAAAGAGATGAAATAATGAGATTTCATTTCATTTTGTATTTTTAATATTTTATAGTTAATGGAAAGTGGAAAAGTATGCTTATGAAAATTTGCCTAAAAACTAAAATAAACTGCCTTAAGAAAGAAAAAAAAAGAATAAAAAGCGAAAAGTAAGGGTCAAATCGAATACCTTTTTATTGGAATCGACTTCTGGCCTTATCGGGGGAGTGTATTTGGTAATTGGTAATGTGTAGAGTTTGAGTTTATTATCCATGAATAACCAAAAATAAAGTTTTTCAAAGGGTAAAATAATATTAGTATTTAACATAAGTTGATTATATAACTGAATTTTATTTTATTTTAAAAGAAATAAACCACTCATAGAAAATAAGTTTAATGTTAATTTTATTAGATTAGACCACAGTTATTAAGGGCTCTTTATATATAGCTCATCTCAACTTCATCAAACCAAACCCAAAAACTTAGCCAAAATAATTTTCTTAGCTCAAAAGACTCAACCCTTTTTTGTAAGCGATTAAACATATAGGCCCTACCATTTCTTTTCTTCTCAAATTTGGATTGGTTGGGACTTCAGAACTTTTTTCCTAATTGACATGTCTAGAGAGATTATATTATTTACGTACATACAATTAGCCTTTACAAGTTTGAATTGTATAGCGGTCACATTAGTTTTTGAAACGAATATTTGCTACTTTGGTTTATTTGGTTAGTTAAAAAAAAGGAGTTAAAATGAAAACTAGTCGATATTCCAATGATCAATGTTTGTTTGTCCGTCATTGGTCTGAAATAAATAAACTATTTTCAGGTAATAATGATTGGTCATTGAGTAATTTCCTTTTCCAAAAGGAGAAAGACAAAAGAAGGCCTTTGTAAAGGGAGAATATAAAAAAAAAATTGGAAGATAAAAGTAAAACAAAAAAGGAAGGTCTTTTTTCTTCTTCATTATTATTAATAAAAGACTTTTTCAATGATAATGACACAAAAGTAGCATATAAATGGTGGTGGTGGAATTTATAAAGGGGTTGCGGCCTAATCACTTACTCATGCTTTTGTTCTTTACCTTATCACATCCATCTAATCTCTCAAAAGTAAAATTATATCACTGTCTACCACTGAATATATGCTTAATTATAATTAGAGTTGACCTGTCTTAGTTAATCATTCTTATTATCTTCTAAATAATACCTCTCAAGTTTTCTAATATGAAAATGTTATTTTTTTTAAAATAGCAATTTTATTTTCAAATCAATTCATTTCTCTAACTATCTAAGCAAAGTTTTAACTATTTATGATTAATGTTGTTTAAGGTTTATATATGCATCGTCAAATAACTTCTGGATGAGTGTTGTTTCTCCATCTTCAGTATTGTATAGTAGTTACAAGTCTTCCATTTACATTGTCAAGACACAATAGTGTGATCTTCCCATAAATAGACTAAAACACATCGAAGTAAACTGCTACGCGGTTCGTAAAAATATCCAAATCAGTTTTGCTTAATCAGTCTATGTTTCCTAACTTCCTATACTCATCATATTGTTGAATGAAATGTGAACAAAGCCGTTGACATTTCCTTTTATGGATCAACTCTAATCCAATATGTTTCTTTGTCACATCTGGCAAGTTGCAAGTAGGTAATTAAGAGGGTATTATATGATTTTGCTTGACTGATTTATTATCGGTTCAGTGTATTTAAACCATGAATAACTTTATTAGTTATGTTTGATTTACCTGATTTTGTTCTGATACCTTGGAACAAATTTTAGATTTCTGTATAAAATATACCAAAAAAACTGTCATTTTTCCACTGTTGACAAGAAGAAACCCAAGCAAAGTTCCCCTAAAGGGAATAAAACTGACGTATAGTGAAGAAACTAAACCACAAGACGAAATCAGAACTGAGTTTGGTGTGGAAGTATTACTGGGTTTGTTCAATACAAATACAAAGTTGGAAGAAAAAAACGGAAAGAAGAAAGATTCTTAGATATTTTCTTGTCTGCTCAATGAATAGAGATACTTAAAAGATAAGAATAACAAAGAAAAGAAGAATATTTTGTAAAATAAAATGTTGGATTGTCAAATCTGAAATTAATTGACATTTTGAAAGAGCTTAAGCGAACAGGAGTAAAAAGAAGATCTTTTCACTGGGGCCATAGAGAATCTATGCTCACCACATGTTGCCTTTGCTCCTTCAATATAACACGAGAGGATTGGGAGGCAAACAATAACAACAACAAAATTACAAAAATATATACTATACAATATAAATAATTTTTCAAATACAAATCTAGAAATATATTAATGGGACCCATTAAGAATAGACCAGTTAAACAGCGACTTTTCTTTCTACATATCCAAGCGTAAGCCTGAGGAGGATTGAAACCAAAGGAAAAAAAAAGAACCAAACAAACATTAAAACATTATATTATAAAGAAATAAATTTTCTTTTTCAAAAAAGCGACTACTCGGGTTTTTGATTTCTTTGTCGTAAAACTCCATTTCCAGAAATTTCACGCGCGATTTGTTTTCATATTTATTTTCTTTTGTTTATTATGAATTTTACTTGGTGTGGTTTGGATTGATCTTGTTGGTTTAAACTTTGATTTCTTCCTGAATTTTGCTAACCGGCGGCGATGCCGACACCGGTAAGCACGGCGAGGCAATGTCTAACGGAAGAAGCAGTACGTGCGTTAGACGATGCCGTAGCCGTCGCGCGTAGGAGAAGCCACGCGCAAACGACGTCGCTTCACGCCGTCTCGGGTCTCTTGACGATGCCTTCGTCGATCCTCCGCGAAGTGTGCATTTCACGCGCCGCTCACAGCACACCCTACTCTTCCCGCCTCCAGTTTCGCGCGCTCGAGCTCTGCGTCGGCGTATCTCTCGACAGGCTCCCTTCCTCGAAATCACCAACGACGGCATCGGAGGACGAGGAGCCGCCGGTGTCGAATTCGCTCATGGCGGCGATCAAACGGTCTCAGGCGACTCAGAGAAGGCATCCGGAGACTTACCATCTCCACCAAATCCACGGGAGCAATCAAACGACGTCGGTTTTGAAAGTCGAGCTCAAGTACTTCATTTTGTCGATCCTCGACGACCCGATTGTGAGCCGGGTATTCGGCGAAGCCGGGTTTCGGAGCACCGACATCAAGCTCGACGTGCTTCATCCTCCGGTGACGCAATTCTCTTCGCGCTTTCCGCGATCTCGTTGTCCGCCTCTGTTCCTCTGTAACCTCCCGGAATCCAATTCGGGTCGGGCTAGATTCGGGCTTCCGTTTGGAGTGAGTGGAGGAGATTTCGACGAGAATTGCAGGAGGATCGGCGAAGTTCTGGGTCGGAAAGAGAAGAAGAATCCGTTACTGGTTGGGATTTGCGGTGGTGAAGCTCTAAAAACCTTCACCGATTCGATTAACAGAGGAAAATTAGGGTTTTTGCCTCTGGAGATTAGCGGATTAAGTGTAGTTAGTGTAGAGAAAGAGATTAGCGAAATGAAACTCGACGAATTAGGGAGAATCGTTGAGCAAAACTGCTCGAAATCGAAATCTGGCCTTGTTCTGAATCTCGGAGATTTCAAGATCTTAACCAGTGAGGAATTTTCCGGTAATGCTCTCGTCTCGAAGCTCTCGGATCTGTTGAAGCTTCACCGTGAAAAGCTCTGGTTCATCGGAAGTGTGTCGAGCAACGAGACGTATTTGAAACTGATGGAGAAGTTTCCGACGATCGACAAAGACTGGAATCTTCATCTTCTTCCTATTACATCTTCGTCTCAAGGTGTTTATCCAAAATCAAGGTAAGGTCTTTCTTCTTCTATATTCAATATCAAAAAAAAAAGTCTAAATCTTTTTTTGACGTTTCTGGTTTTATATAAAACAGTTTGATGGGATCGTTTGTACCATTTGGAGGGTTTTTCTCATCAGCATCAGATTTCAGAGTACCGTATAGTAACTCAATGAATCAGACTCTGCCTCGGTGTCATCTCTGCAACGAGAAGTACGAGCAAGAAGTCACATCCTTTGGCAAGTCTGGCTCGAGTCCGGATGATCAGTCTTCAGAGACGTTACCTTCTTGGTTACAAGACAAAGGGATTCTCAAAAAGGTGCGATTTTTAATTGAGCATTGATGATCAGTCTCTCTGTTCACTATCTTGAGAGAGTTATTTGATTCTCATTCAGTGCAGGCTAAAGATGATCCAAACGCATCAGACTCTCGAGTCCAGGCTCTGCAGAAGAAATGGGACGACATTTGCCAAAGAATCCATCAAACTCCTGCGTTTCCTAAGCTCAGTTTCCAGCCCGTTAGACCGCAGTTTCCGCTTCAGCTTGTTTCTTCAAGCCATGGCATGGTGACTCAAGCGCAGAGTCCGCCACAACAACTCTCGAAACCGAAACAACAGACAGAGGAGGATCTCACGAGCCTCGCAACGAACTCGCCGTTGAGCTGTGTGACAACAGATTTAGGGCTGGGAACAATCTACGGTGTGATCAAAGAGAAGCCATTGTTGGCGACGGCTTCACGGCATTGCAAAGATTTCAAGTCTTTAAGAGAGTTGCTGTCTCGGAAAGTCGGTTTTCAGAACGAAGCTGTGGATGCCATCAGCCAAATCATTTGCGGATACAGAGATGATGAGTCAAGGAGAAGAAGAAGCCACGTAGCTTCAAATGGAACAGCCACAAGTAGTAGTAGTGTTTGGCTCACTCTTCTTGGACCAGATAGAGTAGGGAAGAAGAAAGTAGCATCAGCTCTTGCTGATATCTTCTGCGGCGGGCAAGAAAACTGCATTTGCGTGGATTTCAAGGCACAGTTTAGTCTTGACGATAGGTTCAGAGGCAAAACGGTGGTTGATTACATTGCCGGGGAAGTGGCAAAGCGTGCGGATTCTGTCGTTTTCATCGAGAACGTGGAGAAAGCAGAGTTCCCTGATCAGATCAGATTGTCTGATGCTGTGAGAACTGGAAAGCTCCGTGACTCGCACGGCAGAGAGATCAGTATGAAGAATGTTATAGTTGTTGCTACTACTTCAGGGACTGATAAAGACAGTGATTGCCATGCACCTGTCATGTATTCAGAGGAGAGAGTTCTCAATGCTAAAAGCTTGAAACTTCAGATAAAACTAGCCGACGACAATGCTTCGAATGTGAACAAGAATGGTGTGAATAAGAGAAGACCGGAGGAGTCAGAAACAGAGGTTACAGAGCTTCGAGCCCTTAAGTCTCAACGTTCGTTTCTCGATCTGAATCTTCCCGTGGATGAGACGGAAGCAAACGCAGATGAAGCGAATGTAATGTCCGAGAACACGGAAGCTTGGCTTGAGGATTTTGTCGAGCTTGTAGATGGGAAAGTGACGTTCAAGGTAATTGACTTTGATGGGTTAGCGAAGAACGTGAAAAGGAACATCCTTTCGCAGTTTCATCGGTGCTTTGGAGCTGAAACACATCTAGAGATCGAAAACGATGCAACCCTTTTGATTCTAGCTGCCTTAAGATGGTCATCAGATGAAGAGAGAGCTTTCGATCAGTGGCTGCAGACTGTTCTTGCTTCAAGCTTCGTTGAAGCGAGACAAAAGTATTATTCTTTAACTTCGTCTTCTTTCTCTGTGAAACTTGTCGCCTCTAGAGATTCTACGGCTGAAGAGGAAACCACCGGAATACAGTTTCCGGAGAGAGTGGAAGTGATCTGATTGTTTCGGTTGTTATTTCATTTATATATATGTGGTGATGATAGTTAATATAGATCTCCTGAGAGTATGTTGTCATCGGCTTTGGTTTGAGTTTGTGCTTTGTCACTGAATGTATATTATAGGCTTAAAAATTTAAGCTAAACTGTGGTATATAGCTTTAGAGCGAGGAGGGCCAAATTGCTATAGCTTATGGGTTTTTTACCATAATTTCTTATTCTATGGATCATTGAATGGGTTTTTGTATATTTTGTATAACGATATTACCATCATTTCATATTATGCTTCTACTGCTCTGCATTTTTCATTGTGATAATTTTTTCTGTAGGAACCCATTTGTTACTACTCTCTTATATAGAGACATCACCTGATAACTCCCTCTAGAGGATTAAAGGTTTAAATATTAATGAAAGAAGAAAAAGAAAAAAAATTCAACAAACAGAAAAAAGAATACAAAGATCCAATAACAAGTAAAATAAACATAGAGCAAAACACACAATTCAACAAATGTATTGTAAACTCGAAAACAGAAAAACGGAAGATTTTGGGGCATAAGATAAGAGAAGAAGTTGCAGTACGATTTAGTTTCAAAGAGGCCAGGGAAGCAGAAGAACCTCACTCACTAAGAATTATTGTCTTTGAGAAAGGTCAAAGAGATAATGAGATGTCTTAAGTAGTTAAGTTGTTTGTCCCTCTTCTATCCAGCTTTATACGGTGCTTCTGTACCAAGGAAATAATGAATTTAGTATCAAGCCAATCTTAAAACAGTGATAGAAACGAGTTAAATCCAACAAGTAAACATATTGCAAAGTTTTTTTTTTTTCACCAGTCGATCATAAACACGGCCGTACGAGAAAAAGGAGAGAAAATAACCTCGGGTAAAAGAAGTTGCAGCAAGTAGTTTCAGAGAGGGAGGCACAACCTAACTAAGAAGAATTGTTGTCTTCTTCACCACTACTATCTTGGGCATAATCATCTGTGTCTTCCAACATGACATCTCCTGTTGAGAAGAAAATGGGAGGTTTTTCAGGCATGACCTCACAAGTCATAAGTAAAGTTGCACTACAAATTCAAAGATGGGATGATAGAAACAAACGTAAACATAGACTTACTTTCTAGCCATTCGTCATTGCTAACCTTACTGTGCTTTTTCTTTTTTCCAACCTTGTTTAAGAGATGACGCTCAATAGACATCATATATATATCTCGAACTTGTTCCTCTTCTGATGCTGCCTCGCCTTCATCCTGATTTAATTTGACACGAAAAGAAACGAAAAAATGTCTAAAGATGGAAAAAAAAAAGAAGCAGCTCTACAAGATGATCGATCAAATCTTTACCGTGGACATTATACATTTCGTATGAAACATGTCATCGCACTGATTGCAGTAGTACACCTTTTTAGAGAGAATCATATCACATAGAGCACAATACAACATCAGGTCATGGGAAGGATTAAATGTTAGCTCGACCGTGTGCTGGTGCACTCGGTTCTTCACCATGCCTGGAAACCTAAGACACTCCACGTGGGCACTGAAGTTACAATAAATACATCCATAGAATGACATACCACACTGTGTTGAACAAACATTGCAGGTTCGAGCCAACTGCGAATCATTAATCCAATATTTATAGAAAGTGTGACGGTGACGCCCGATATCTTCCAAGACATCCACTCCGTTGCTGCATTTCAAATGAAAACTGAGCTTGCAAAGGGAACAACGAAGGCAATACTTTGTAATCTTCAGTTTGCAGGAAGTGCACTTCTTGGACTTGGATCCACGTATCAGTTTTAGTTTCAGTTTGTGATCAGAATGAAGGGGATGAATGAATCGCTCTTTTCTCCAAGACTCAATACACCGAAGATGATATATATCATCACATGTCATACATGACACAGCTTTTCCAGACAAGCTCTCAGCACAGATAGTGCAACCACCCATCGGATATGACCTCGATACATTAACCTGAACTAAGGAATGTATGTCTTGAAAGCATCTTCCTTGGTCATATTTGATGAACTTTTGCCCCCTTTGCAACTCTCCAAGAGATTTCTTAGCTTTTACCATGCATTTGGTGCATATGACAAAACTGCACATGCGACAGAAGAGGTTAAAACCATCTATTCTCTCTTTTCAGGTTTCACAACTCGTAACAAAACCGGCAGGACAACTTGGGAGAAGTGTCAAAGGATGGTCCAAATGAAATCGATGTGTTGACGGTTTCCCTAACTTGAGACATTCAACATGTGCCTGGAACATACATTCATCTGTCTTGCAATTACATGCGCTGCTACCACGTAAATCCTCAAAACATATAGCACAGTCTTTATGGGCGAAGATCGCACGAGGAGGGGGAAATAATAGCACATGAGTATGTCCAATACCATTCATCTGCACGACATAAAAAAAAAAAAAAAAAAAAAACAATTGAGGGAAGGTCGATCGCTGTAAACAAATAAAGAAAATTCTAATTTCTTGCAATTATGAAACCATACCATAACTTTTTTTTCTAATTTTTTTGTTTCACTCATGTCCTCTTGATCTACTAACTTCCTGACGACGTCTTCTTCTCCATAAGAATATAGGTCTTTCAAGTATAACGGAGAAGGCACTTCCTGTTGTTTGTTTGTGAGTAGATGTAAATAAATAGTTACCATCAACACATATTAAGAAAGAAAGAAAAACAAAGATATTTTTATTTGAATTATATTACCTCACGTAGAATGCATTCAGCGTGACCCACAAAATCACACTCTCTGCATGAATAAGCATGATGTTCCCTAAGTACCATTGTCTCACAAACACCGCAATGCTCCATAGAATCGTCATCGTCTTGGGTTAGGAACGTCGTATGGAAGAGAGGATGAATGTGAAAAGATCTCTTAACAACGGAATCAGGTATCTTAAGACACTCGAAATGAAACTTCAAACCGCATTCCAAACAGTGAAAATAGGAATCGAGAGGGATCTTTTTATTCTTTTTGGATCCGAGAGAGATCACATCAGCTCTCTTGCATATTTGACATTTGTTTCGAAAATCAAAAGCTTCGCCAGCACCAGTAGCTGCATAAAACAACCTATGCTGATGACATTTGTGCATCAGACCTGGCAACAAGGAATCTGCACACCTCATGTGTATATAAAAAATCGCATTCCGCGCAGCCTAACGGGGCACCATTGATATGAAGTCTACATGCATTGCATTTAATCCCATCACCACAGCTATATGTGAACTCAAGGCATGTGAGCGGGTGTGCCGGATGCATAGGATGTTGAATCTCTCTCGGAAGATCAAGGCAGCAACGCTCGTGAACAAATGAGTAACATAGAAGGCAACCGTAACATATAGCAGATGGAGAGAGAGGAAGCTCACAAAGAAGGCAAGAGCCTGTAGCATCTGGTCCAGGTCTACACCTTTTAAGCAAATGGGAATGGCTATAATGTAGCTTAAGATGGAAACTTGGCTTGCTGTGTTATATTTTAGTATGATGAGATACAAGTGTGGTGTGTAGATACTTGGATTAGCGTTAATTTTGCAAGTACATATATCACACATCAAGTACCACAAATTCAAGTATGCTTAAGATTTAATAACACAAGCAAAAGAGAAATAGAGAACATTTCCTTTAAAAAAAGGCTCAGATAATTGTATGCCGTAGTATTGTCATCTATAAGATGCCGTCTCCAGTTTGATGGGTTTTTGGTACTCTTCTTTTCCCCTAGAGGATTAGGTTTATTAAGCTTCAGGATGGAAACATTAAGGCAACAGTACTGTTGCAGCAATACAAGTTCTTACATTGATCAAACTCGACTTTTCTTTACCTAGGACACTAAACTTATTGGTAAGCTAGCACAACGTATAAATTGTTTCTTGAACTCTTGAGATATTTTTTCATTTGCAAAACAAAGTTACTTGCAGCTGAGAAATTTCTCATTAACGGATCGTGGGCCCATGGGGAAAAGAAGATGCAAATTAACAATAAAAAGCCTTAACTAAAACCGTGTATGGCAAGCTATCAAAGCTGGTGACGAAGGAGGGACTTGTAAGTTTTAGTAGAAGCTGAATACAAAGTTTACCCGAAGGTGGACTTATAAGGAAAAATTGATGTTCTTGAAACAACTGTTTTTCAATTCATTTGCAGAAGATGCATAAAGAAGAAAAGATCTTCAAACAAGATGAACAAACCTAGATTACAATGAACTGTAAATTGAATTGTCTGAAAAAAATGAGGAGGAACGCTCCTTTTATAGCAAATGCACACCTTAGTAAACAAGTTTTGTCAACAAATTCAACTTATTTCACAAGGGGGAGAAGTTAATGCTTTAAATTTCTTGAACATGATATTTTTTATTTAAGACAAAATACTTGTTCAAGAATTTATGTTTCTTCCCCATTCTTCTCATTTATCACTTAGCCTACATTGACCCATTTTTCATTCACCAAACTATCATTTTCTAACCAAATAGAACAAGCTCATTTATATAAAAATTGTTCCAAGAGATAGATCGGTCAATGAGATCTCATATGAATTCGGGATTACATGTTCCGCATAACAATCATTATCCATCATCAATAAACTTGCACGGAAAAATCAATAAATCAAATTCAATTGAATAATCAACTTGATTTAACGCAAAAAGACGAACCATGCAAATTGAAACAAAATGGGCTACTAGACGGCTACACTCACTAGGTTTAGTTATCGACCGAAAAAAAGAAGGGTTTTATGGTTCGGGTTCATTAGAATGATATCGCCCAAAATCAAACTAGCAGTCCACTATATCAAGAACAAACACAGATCTCTCTACAAACTCAGAGAAACTCCAAGAGGAAAAACAAGATGAGATGTTTGTTACAACAACTCGACGGATATTTTTTTCCGACTGGAATAAACAACATATAGAGCCTAAACCAGAGTGAACCAAGAAAACATAACCAATGGCATTTAAAAAGGCTTTTATATATTTGGGCCGTGAAGTTGCCCATTACTTGAAAAAGGGACAATTCTCCGTGACACATGGTTGTTGTGTATGGGACCCAAAAACGGCGTGCATTTTGTCGACTTTTAGTGGAACTGTCTTTTTCTTTTTCTTTTGTCCGAACAAAAAAGTTGTAAAGATCCTTTTGATGGGTAACTAAAAAACAGAAAGAAAAAGAACAAAACTTTTACGTTTTGTAATGTAAATACATTAATTAAAAGCAAAAAAAGAGTTTAACGAGTACATTTAACTTAAAAAACAACAACAAATAAGTAAAAAAATTAAAAGAAAGTAAAAGAGGGTGGGTTTATTCCTAATAGAGCTAAAAAATGAAGAGGACGAAAGTTAATTGATTTTCGATTTGTCAGAAGCGTAAACGTAGAGATCTGGATCTGTCTCGTAGAAGACAATATCACCAGTGTCACTGACGTAATGATCTTTCTTAATACTTGCGACCAAACTCTCCACTAAGTGGACCGGTATTGCTCCTGACGTCTGTGGTTCTCTGTAGTATCTTCCCAACACATGTTTAGCTGCTTTCGTCTGTCCAAAATCATTTTAAAAATCACTAATTAGTAATCTAATCACCCTTTTAATCACATAATTTTGGATGAAAACTAGAGAGATCGATCACTCACGGCATCGACTAAGTGGTAGTGAGGGATTTGTGGGAAAAGGTGATGGATCACGTGTGTTCCAATGTCGTGATGAATGTTGTTGAAGATTCCGTAATCTCTATCAATAGTTGTTAATCCTCCACGTAGATAACTCCATTCCTATTTATACACACAAAAACGTAAAATCAAATCAATCGCTATTCTTCATTGCTGATTTTCTAAAAGAAAATAAATGATTTAATTACCTTGCCTCTGTACCAAGGCAACTTCTCATCGTGTCCATGATGATGCAAATACGTGACAGCGTCCAACCACATCACAAAGATCTGAAATTTTCCAAATAATAATCAGCATGTTTTTATGAATATCTAAAATATCTCATATCAAATATGAATTTTATAAATACTTACGATGTAAGGAACGCCATAGACTTTAAGAACAGTCATTGGACCAACGAGGAACGATAGAAAAACAAGAGTGGCCAACATAATCACCCAACAAGTAGTTGAAGTTGCAATAAGCTTTCTCTCGCTTGGAGCAAATAAACTACTATTTGGGTTAAAATGTGACCCTTCTTTTCCAGGACTTCTGTACCACTGTAAAAAAATCCAAACAAAATTAATTACTCTACAACTTCAAATCTATTACAGTTATAAATAAAAGAATTAAAAATTTACCAGATAGAGAGGGTAAGCGAGCATAGGGAGAGGCACGGTGTATCTGAGCATCCGAGTACTGTGGGGTAATTTCTTGTACAACTTTTCTGGTAACTGTAAAACAACCATTTTTTAATGAAAATGATTTTAATATTTTATAATTTAAATACTCGTAGAAATTGTAACATCGTGGTTATGTATTTGTATTTATTACCATTGCATGTGATGTGTTTATAAGTTTGTTTATTTTGTTTTTTTCCTAGTTTACGAGATGCAGACAATATATTACGAAAATGCCAAAAAGGAGAAGGAAAAACAAAAATCAAGAAAAGTAAACGCATTTCGAGGAGAATCGTTTGATGCTAAAGACTCGAATATAAGTGGTCCGTTTATTAAAGTCAAGTTATTTATACGAAAAAGTTTGTACTACTATTACTATAAACCACTAAAATAAAAATAAGAATCGTGAACTATATGACAGTATGACACTTGCAATTCTTTTTTTTTACTACAGCTAAAAAACAACATGGCCTCAAACTAGTTTTTTTTTATAAAAAAACATATGGAATCCTAAGAACAAAGAATTACTCGAATTTCAAGAAAATAATTTAAAAAGACAAGAGAGAAATTATGAGAGAGGGAAAGATTACCGGAACCCAAGACTCGTCGTTTTCAACATGGCCATGGTTCTGGTGGTGTGTCCGATGGCTTATTCTCCTGCGAATCCAATTCTTTTTATTATTCACACAATTTTTCTTTGAAAACGAAATCGATGTCGTTTTCTAGGCAGATACTAACAATCTCACTCTTTTAATTATGATTTTTTTTTGTCAGAAAGAAGTAACAATCAAATACTATAATGTCTCACCAAAATGATGTCTACAAATCTACCTTTAATGATAATGAAGCCTTGCTTCAGCTTATCAATCTATTTTAAAATATTCATAATCTCCAAATAAAAAATATCAATTTCTACGTATACTTTAGAAGCTGCATTTAATACAAAGTTTTGATTCTTTTTCTTTTGTTACTAAAGGATGCTTAATTTTGGATTGCAATAAGAAAAGCTACCTCACATAGTCACATGGATTATATAATTAAAAATTGCCTCTAGAGAGGAAAAAAAATGAATAGATTTCTGAATATCAGATTAATTTACTAACAGTAAGAAATACGTAAACGAATAATTGTTTAAAGGAAAATAAATAATAAAATAAAGGAAAAAATGACTTACCAACCATGGTATGGAACGAGAATGAAGGAATGAAGAATGTGACCAACCACACTGTTTAGCAGAGGAATGTCTGAGAAACTCCCATGTCCACTGTCATTATTCAATTCAATTTTTCACTTCATTATTATTCGCAGATAAAATCCCACATTTATTGCAATTTATTTTGATTTTCCATGTTTGTTTCAATTCAATCGCTTCAACAAAGGTAACAAATCGATATAAAAAGAGACAATATATATTTTGTTGAAAGACAATACATTTTCTTTAATAAGTTCTAGACGAAACAAATTGGGGAATTCAAACGTAGATCCATGAAATGCAGAAACAATAATTGTATCAAAAAAAGGTATTTTTGTTACGAGTCTTACGACTGAAGAGATCATCGTGGATCGTTGATGAAAAAGAAAAAAAAATCTAAAACAAAAATCTTAGATCCCCTTTTATTTATTTAATAATATAACTTGAAAAGTAACATCAAAAGAATCGAATCTCAAAAAAAAAAAAAAAAAAAAAAAAATCGAATCTCGAAGTCAGTGAAGAACACTAGTCGAACGTGCATTCAAGAAATCGAGGCAACGAACAAAAAAAGTAATTGAAATTAAGAAATTAAAATTAATAAATTGTAAAAATTGAAATTGTTATTGAAAAATTGAAATTGAAAAATTTACCAGTCGTGGCCGAGGACGAAAATGGCCCAGAAAAGGGTTCCTTGGGCGGCCCAATAAAGAGGCCAAAAGATCCAGCTGTCTAAATACACGGCGGCGATGGCCATAGCCGCGACGGCGATAATGTCTCTGAAAACGTAGCTCATAGATCTCAAAGGACTCTTCACCCAGCAATGTTTCGGAATCGCCGCCCTTATGTCTCCGATCTTAAACGGCGGTTGTGCGCTCGGATCAAACCTTTCTCCCTTCCCGGCTCCGAGGCCGGAATCTCCGTTCACATTGCTACGCTGGTCCATAGCAACAACCATCGCCGGAGAGAGAGGGAGAGAGAGAGAGAGATCTGAGGGAGAAGTTTCTCTCTCTAATCTCAGAATGTGTGTGGCTCAGTGAAAATGTGGTGAAGAAAGGGTTTGATGAGTTTGGGGGCTCGTGAGATTTGTTTATATAAAGGAGGAAGTTGTGTAGAAGACATTGAGAGAAAGACTCCAAAATTGTTTTTTATTTATTTGTTTTTACTTTAAATTTTGCTGAAAACATTTATTTTTTGGTAAAATTATTTATTCTTTTTTGTTTTAACGTAAACGTTTAATTATTCAAAGAACAAAAAGGGTAATTTTGCTGTATAGTTTTCTAATTTTCTTATACTTTGTTACGTCGTTCAACTCAATGAAACCAAATTAGAGAAATGTGACACGCAAAAAGGGATATAAACTTTGAAAAAGAAGAAAACATTTTCTTTTAAACTGAAAAAAGAAGAAAATATTACCATTTCTGTTTTACCATTTCAATTCGTACAAGTTAACAGTACTGTATCTTTCTTTTATTTGATTATTTTTAAGTATGAAAGTTGCAAATTTCAGAGATATGTGAGATAGTCGGATATCTTTGCCATTTAAATTGTTTATAGTATATCTATCATAATTAAAATCTTGTTAACCTTAACTCTGTGATTTCTTTTCCCTGGACACAAGGAGTACATATACCAAATAAATTATATTAATTTCTTACTTGAGAATCAAGTACCATATTATAGGCACTGAAGTGGACGACAAGCATAATGTTTTTTGGCATACATTTATTACTCATAAGAATGATATCAATATTATGCGAACTAAACTGATAACAAATACAGTAGTAAAAAAAAAATACTAGCATAGAGAAAGAAAAGTGTAAATATTAAAAGAACTAAACTGATAACAAATAGTAGTAAAAAATATTACTAACATAAGATAAGAAAATCGTAAATTTTAAAAGAACGAACCTATGAGGCTAGTATTTATTAATATATAAAGATACAATAATATAGTAAGCTGACTAATTGGAGGAAATTTGGAAGAAAAATAATGCCCACATCACTCTGGTTTTTTGGGGTCACTCTCTGAGACTAATAAATTATTAGGTTTCCAGCGGTTTTTATTTATTTTAAATGACTTTACATTTAGTTGGCAGTTTTATGTTTCCCTCCTTAAATAAATTAGTTCGCCGTCACCGATTCTACAACGTAAGTCGTTGATTTTTCGTTTTTGTCATTAAAAAGTAGTTGGTGGGAAAAAAATTGTTTTCCATTCATCACAATATAGAGCCCTATTATTCATGGGAGAAAAAATTGGGTTGAAGTACTGGATAATGCACTTGATGCGGAAGTAACAACACAAATAGATTAAATTGTGTGGTCAAAATGGTTAGATTGGTTGATTATAAATAGTATAATTACAACTGAACTTTGACTAGCACTTCAAATACTTTGAATAGTTTCAATACATTTATGGTTAGTGGAGGACACATTGTATTGTACAAATGTACAAAGCAAATTGGAGCGTTTCCTCGTATCTTTTCTTACAAAAATTTCCTACACGCATTTACGATTTTGATGCATTAAGTATTGAGATAAGTATTTGCTGCAACTATATACACTACAAATTGACTTAGTCGCCTCCATTAATTACTCATGAAAATTGCTTTAAACAACTTTTCTTTATTTGGAAAAACATTTTCACATGATTGTCGTCCACACTCTATGACCGGAGTTGGCAACTAATTTCGCACCGTTTTTTAGTAATCAGAAACGTATGACAAGGACCTTTAATTAGCCACATACAGCTTCTGACGGGTAATATCTTAAGCTAGATTGCATTGTCTACGCTTTACTTGTACAAGCGTCTAATTATATATAGGCCGTTTACTTGAAAGACCATATCATATCTATGGACATATTTGAACCTCCGTTTGTAACATATTTTTGTTTGCACATTTGTATGAATATTTTTAAACGTTACTCTTGCTATTTTGTGTCTATCTATTCATTTTGTCAACATATATTTTGTGTGTCTATACTTGTTTATAAATCCGTATTTCAATCGAGGTCCTTTACATATATTCAAAAAAGGTTTTATTATAACTATTTTGACATCAAAAGTGAAAAGAGACCAGCACTAATAATATAAGACATAAGTGATCAATCTTCTGCTAATAAATTTTGAGATGATAGCTCAAGTAACACATAGATCTTATCCTTTGGATATCAATTGTAAAAGTGAAAAGATATTAATCAAATCTGCTGCTAATAAATTTTGAGATGAAAGCTCAAGAAACTTAATTAACACACACAGTAGATCTTATTCTTTAGTTATCAATTGTTTTTAAACATTTTCTTAAACACTTTCTCGATAAAAGATTATTTATCACTAAAGCAAAACATAAATCGACATCATGTTGTCGTACGGATTAAAAAAACTCGTATAGTTTGTATAAAAATGGATTCATGCCAGCATATTGTCATGCATTTTCTCAACTTTTATGAATATAAGTGAGCAAAGGAAAAGGAAGGGTTACAAAATGATGTGTGTGTAAACATAAGCTTGCACATGAGAGTTCAGCTATTCGACAAATGGTTACTACTGTGGGCTACTTGCTACGTACCATTTCTACTTATATATATGGAGTATATATAAGAGAATAATAATTGAGAATAAATCCCAAAATGCAAAGAGAAGTATATGTTTGTTATTTAGCAATCGCACATGGTGGAGGACCTTCGATCTCCTCGTGATTTCCGAAGGGCCATTACATTATTTCTAACTATACAATTAATGTATAAATCCTTACATATTTCCAACTGCTATCTATCTGAACAAGACAGTATATAACTTTCAATATGAATATACATTCATACACATTATATTTCACTAACAGTGACTAAATATGCTTATCAATTATCATACACGTCTCTACGTGTTTATCTATCTTATACTATTATTTTGTACTAACCATCCGTATTTAATGGAAAGTCGTGTACGTACAAAGGTATCACTTCGTAGATACCCACGATATTACCCAAGTTAGAGAATTATTTTCTTAACAACAACTAGTCATCATTACGTTAATTTAATTATAATTACCCCAAAATAATATGAAGGGTGGGGCCGCCGGAATATGCTTTCGTGTGTTTTGTACATTATAGATTTCAAAAGTACAACAAATATTAGCTTCTGTATTAGACTGATATACCTCTAACGTGCGGGTTCATCGTAATTGTTTTCTCAAAATACTCATATTTTGGATTTTCAATTTAACTAATGTAAAAATCTTTAAAACACAAGTGCTGATTCAGACAAAAATGTGAAAAACAAAACAAGTGTTGAGGGAATGGAGTGGGTATAGAACACGTCGTAAAGAAATGATGTCTTCTCGTGTATGAAACACGCACCTTGCATTTTTTGTTATCAACCGCACAACACTTTCTCTATTCAATTCGAATTTTCACTTTTTTTTTCCTTTTACATCAGACTGAAAACGTATTCGAGAATATGCGCATAAATTTGCAACATGGAATTATTCGAATCTAATTTTACTTTTCTTGCATTAAAAATGCTATAAGAATTACAAGTTTCTTCGTGTTAACTATATATATATATATATATATATATATATATATATCTTATTATATAAAGCTGGATGCGCGCGACGTGGTTGCGACACGTAGGATTTTTATAAAATTTAGGATTGCGACATGTGTCACTTTTAATGTTATGTCCGTTAAGATCGTGACATGTGTCTTAGAAAAAAGGAAAAAAATAATAATTAAAAAAAATAGATAAAGGAAAAAAAACGAAATTTTAATTTTTATAGTTAAAAGAAAAAAAAATATATTTGTCATATCCTAATAGAAAAAGGTTTCCCATTCATCAAATTTATATTATCCAAACACATATAAGATTCAAATTAATGAAATAAATAAAATCCTATTAGTACATGAAATAGGTTAGGTAAACTAAATTTCCTATAACTGCATGGAATAAGTTACATGAACCCCTATAAAAAGAAGTTAAAGTAGTCTTTTTTTCTCATTCACAAACTCATCAAAGCAAACAACATGATAGCAATACATATGATTTTTATAACTCACAAAATTGCGATATGTGTTTATATTCCCATTATGAACAGGAAAAAAACAATATATAATAAGCTATTGCGGTTCAATTATGTGCTTCTATCTTTTGTATAATCTTTTCTCTCATAAAAAATCATGTATTTAAAATTCATGGTATCAATGAATAATATTTAACTCTATATTAGTTGGATAGAAATCAAAATTATTGTCGATACATGTATCTAACTCTATATCGGTTGGATAGAAATCAAAATTATTGTCGTTACATGTATTTGATCCGGTGAAGACATGTTAATTGGAAAAATGTTAAACAGATATAAAAACTAGAAAAATAATTAAAAAAAAAACTAACTAATAATGAAAATGAAAATTTATAATGGTCTGAGTCAAAAACAAAATTGAGAAAGAAACAATATAAATAGAAAACTAACAAATTAATTATCAAGCAACTAACTAATATTAAGAAAATATAATGAACCGATATTCTAATTTTAAATAGTTTAATTTTCAATATTGTTAGGTAAAAAATTATTAAATAAAGATTTCATCAATTGAAATCTCTTGAATGGAATAATAAAGTTTTGTTGAATTAATTAATCAGTTGATCATATTTAGACATATATAAGTCTTTCTATATTGGATAAAAATAAAAATAAAACAAATTAATTCATTTTTCATATCATGAATTCAAAAAAAATATCAATTACAATAAAAACGTAAAAAGGTTACCGATCTTATTTTATTTAAATATTTTTATCGGGTTTTTAATATTATTCTGTTTACTTTAAAATGATCAAATTTGGTTTAATACTTTTCCATGATTTTATTACAAAATCTTAAAATAAACCCGCGTATACACGGGTCTTAATCTAGTATATATATATATATATCTTTATATTATTAATTGAGAAGTACATT